TTTTCTGTCTAAACATGCATAGGATTGCTTCCTAACTAATCTAAGAGAACACATCTTTCTGCAGCAGGATTTAGAGAAGCATTGGCTTCTGCACAGATTATTTTTGTTGACTGCCCCTTTAGCTTTCTGCAGTTTAATGGTGTGGTTCTCCTCAACATGCTGCAAAGGTACATCAGAATCAAAAGGTGACTCACTTGCATTTCTGTATAGATTAGCTTTAGTTATATGCCTTATAAATAAAATGATCAGAGTGGTTCACACAATAAAATAGTTTCGCGGCAAGTTTGAAACCATTTTAAAATGTCTAAAACACCTTCAGTTAAGACCATTTCTCTTGAAGTCACTTCCTTTAGATCAGAGGACCCATCAGGCCTAATCAGCATAGCCAAGGGCAAGACATGATGGGAGCTGCAGCTCCATAAAGCTGAAGGTCCCCACACACCCCTTCTCTGCTGGCCCCAAGCCATTTGGGTCTGAAAGGTTAGCACTAATCCTTTCTTTTGAATTGGTCCTGGAAATTAGTACAATTGACAAAACACTGACATCTCATGAACATCAGTCCCATTCAATAATTGAGCAGCTCTGTTTCAGACTAACCAAAGTCTCAATCAATTTCAAAGGTAGCTTCTTGTGCAATGCATTGCAGGATTCTAGGGCTTTTAAAAAAGAGAGGCCACGGTTAATTGGGTAGCATCCAAACGGTATAAATAAATACATGTCCTACACTTGGTTCTTCTTAAAATATACACAAATGTATATTCTAAGGTGCATTCATATCTATATTGGAGCACAGCAACAACCAGGAGGACCTGCTTTATGTTTTAGTGGCCATTTCTCTGCCAAGCTGATAGGAGTTATGATGTCTATTCAAGACAGCTTGGTGACTCCTTGATATTAAGTTTATAGCACAGATCAAGAGAAAGCTATTAATGTAAAGTACTACTTATTCAACTAGGTAATATATTTTGACTGAAGAATTTTGATTTCAGGAACCTGACAGTCTAAGAATGCAAGATGATGAAAGTAAGTGCATTCTGCATTTAACACATAGTGAAGAGGCTTTGTGTGGAGAATGGAGGACAAAAAAGCCACTTCAGAGTGCCAGCCATTCACACCAAACTCTATGCTGTCCATCATTTCACTCAGGCTGCATATGATCCTATGTATACTTATCTGGTTGAGTAAGCTCCATCAGACAGAATGGGGCTTATGTCTGCAGACATCTGCATAGGATTGCACTTTTAATTAAATTCTCTGTATATCTAATGCATCTATTTCTCCAACGTGCGCATTCAATTTTTCCAGTGCTGGTGTGTCTGCAGGTTTAATACATCTTATCCTGTGCCTTTTAGAGAGCAGGCTTTACATTATGGGTAAAAGAGTGACAACACAATCCTATATATATCTACTTGATCAGCAGACTGGTCACCTGTTTGATCTTTTCATCAATGGTCTGGAAGAAGGGGTGACCAGTCTGCTGATCAAATTTGCAGACGATACTAAAACCGGGGCAGTGGCCACAACTGAGGAGCAGGTACTCCAGATCAAAAGGATCTAGACGGACTATGGAAGTGGGTAGGAAACAACAGGATGGCATTCAATGAAGATAAGGGCAAGGTCTTGCACTTGGGGCATAGGAATGGGTGCCATAAGTACAGGTTAGGTGACAGGTGGCTGGAGAGCAGCACTTGTGAAAGGGACCTCGGGGTACTGGTTGACTGCAGGCTAAACATGAGTCAGCAGTGTGATGCGGTGGTCAAGAGGGCGAACGCCACCCTTGGTTGCATAGCCAGAAGTATGGCTTCTAGATCGAGAGAGGTATTACTACCACTCTATATAACTCTGGTGCACCCGCAACTGGAGTATTGTGCTCAGTTGTGGGCCCCTAATTGCAGAAAGGATATAGCCAGGATAGAGTCAGTGTAGTGTAGGGCCACAAGGTTGGTGGCCAGTTTGCAGAGAAAGCCATATGAGGCAGGACTGAGGGAACTGGGTCTCTTCAGCTTGGAGGAGACTTAGAGGGGATCTGTTGGTGACATACAGGTATGTGAGGGGGTGTCACACAGAGGTGGGTAGAGACCTGTTCTCCCCTGCAGAGGAGGGCAGGATATGCTCCAATGGAGCGAAGCTCAGGGAACCAAGGTTCAATTTGAATGCCAGGAAGTACTTCCTGACAGTTACGACCCCTAGAATGGGCTTCCATGGGAGATGGTTGAGGCCCCATCGGTGAGGGTGTTCAAGGATAGGCTAGACCTGCACATGGTGGGCATGTCATGAGCGGAGCAGAGCCAGGGGTCAGACTAGATGGCCTGGGAGACCCCTTCTGAGTCGCTCTGTTTCTGTGTTTCTATGTTTATTGCCTATGATTGTAATTGACTATGGGTAATATGCAGAATGGTCCTAATAAGTCTGATGTATTAAAAGATACTCGAAACACTTGGAGAGTTAAGTTACAATTCAACTTCTTACTTACTTTGTAAGGTATATATAGCATATCTTGGAAACATGACATGACTTTCTCAAGCAGCAGACAATTGGTCCCTTGTGCTAAATATTGTATTTGAATTTTTAGGTCATCACAGCACTTGCATTCCAGATTCCAAGTTTCCTTCTGTTACAGTGCCATCTCCACTTCCAAGGATTACGTAAGTGCAAAAAATGCATTATGTCTCCTGGCCTTAGAACTTCTGCATATAATATATAATGTATGATTACACTTTGGTATTAAAAAAAGGCCTCACCATTTTTATAAATAGAGCACTTGTGGAGGGAAATTGATACATTGCAGGGATTCCTGGGAGCATAAATGGCACCTGTGTACCTTATTCCAAATGTGAATTACTATGTGGTTTTGGGAATGGTCACTGGATAAGCACATACTCCATGCTTTCTTGGGAATACTTGCTACATAGTCCTTTGGATCCTGTCCCTAAGCTTCTCTTACAATACCCCTGTACTAATAAAATTGTATACCATTTTATATTACAAGGTAAATAATTGTTTGTTTTACATAATTCCAATTCAAGAGCTCAATGACTCCCCACGATCTATTTTTATTTATTCATTTAGTCATTGCATTTATATCCCATGCCTCTTAGCTGAAGGCTTTCAGGGCAGTTCACATAGACATACTTTGGCAATGTACTGCATCAACTGTGACTGAGGCAGTGTTGACTCTAAATTTCATGCCTCCTCTATTTTGACAGCATAGAAAAAAGCCTGTGAATGACTACATATATGCTTCAAGGTTTCCTGGGAATCTTGTATCAGTTTTATATTCATAACAATGTTTTTCTGCAGGAAAAAACTACCAAATCCAGCTCTACCACCAGTAAGTTGATGCCGTATTTATACAATCATAATGTGTTATTAATTCTGAAGGTAACCTCAACTCTCTTATCAGATGTATCACCATCTTTTCTTCTTCTTACATCTGCTTAGAACAGCCTTTCTGAAACCACTACCAGCCAGATGTGTTGGACTACAACTCCCATAATGCTCCAGCCAGCATAGCAAGAGAGTTGTGGTGTAGCATATCTACAAAATGCCAAAATAGGTAAACCTGGCTTAGAAATAATTATCTAGTGTTTCACTGGAGTGGAATGGCCATACTGTCCCTTTTACAGAAAAAGGGAAACACTGGTGTGAAACACAATGGAAGTTTGCAAAAGCAAATCCTTAAAAGCTGGTAGCCAAGACTGAGAAAACAATCCATGCATACCTCCTTGTACATGGCTGCAAAAAGATAAGCAACTGTGTGACATGAGCCAAGGGAACAATTGAGCTGCATGAAAATATTTGCCTATCCTTTGGATGCACTTGAATCCTGGAGACTATTCGCACAGTTTAGATGCTCCCCTTCAGGTGCCTATGAATATGTTAAGAAAAAGGGTTCTATGGACTATCTTATACATAAAATTTTTCATCATCTGTCACCAGTCAGCTAGGAAGGACCACTTCTGAAAAAAGGAAAGAAAATGCTTTCCCTTACTGATGAAAGGCTAGGGGTATCCTGCTCTGCTTGGAACATTTGCCCTCCTATTCCAGGTCTACTGTATAGAAGGATGTTGATTTTCCAGTGCAGTTCTCAAAACAACTTAAGAAAGATATTTTTTACAAAAACACTGCAATTATTTTGCAAAGTTTTCTTATGAGGATATAAAATTTCAAGTTGAGCAGCAGTGAGGATCAGCCATAGTACAGATTCTAGAAAGTAATCCTTCTAGAAAGATGAACAGTGATGTTAACTTTCCAAGTTATAGCTTAAGACAGTGAGCACAGGGCTAAGCAGGCTTCAAAGGTCATTCAGAAAAAACTTTCACTGCTATACAAAGGACTTAAAACAGTCAATATCCTAAATTGTTTTTCCCAAACTTGATGCCTTCCAGGTGTTTTGGACTGCAACTCACATTATCCCCAAATAGCATGGCCACTAGGGATAGTGGGAGTTTTAGTGCAACACAAGGTCAGCTAACCTGTATCACCAGTGTGAGAAACTACTTCATATTTGTTCTAATTTCACTCTGGTAATTGCAGATGAGGATGCTACTGCATGTAGGTTTTGTTTTTTGAGTGGGGGTTGAGGGAAGGTGTTGTGCTTAATAACATAATGCCTACTAATTGCTTGGCAAGAAATTTGGTTCTTCTGCTCCAATCAAGCAGTTCAACAGACAGTCTAGAGCAGGGATGTCCAAACTGAGGCTCTGGAGCTGCATGCAGCTCTTTGCTGTTCGTTACTCTCCACCAGGGGTGTCCATGGAACTAAATAAGGATGTTGTCATTTGTCATGTCTGATCACTAGACCAAGAACATTTTATCTCAGATTCCCTCATATAAAAAAAATGAAGTGGAGGTACACTTATAAAAAACAGCTCAACAAAAGTTGTGTTCAAACTTACTTGCTTCCTCTGTTATTGTAGAAACCAAGCTTCCCTGACAGAGACCACCTGAGTGTTACTGAAGGTAAGCTGCTTCTACTATTCAAACATAAGCTTCTTTTGCCCATGTGCTACCTTTCACTTATTAAAGCTGAACGGTTTTCTGAAGTGCTGCAGTTGCACGTCCCCTATTCAGGCAAGGTGGATTTGCATATATTTTCTGCTTAATCCTATTGAAAAGGGACCACAGCTAGTGGCAAAATGCATGCTTTGGATACCAAATGTTCTGGAGCAGGTCCCTGCCTTCTCCAGTTTAATAAGAAAAGTTGAGAAGAATGTTCTGAAACCCCTTTTTTTTGGAGATGGTACTTAATTCTAGGACTGCAGGTGGCGCAGTGGTTTAAATCACTGTGCTGCTGGGCTGGTTGATCAAAAGGTTGCTGGTTTGAATCTGCACAAGGGGGTGAGTTCCCGTTGCTCCATCCCAGCTCCTGCCAACCTTGCAGTTCAAAAGCATGCAAATGCAAGTAGATAAAAAGGTACCACTTCGGTGGGCAGGTAACAGCATTCTGTGCACTTCGGTGTTTAGTCATGCCGGCCACATGACCACAGAGACTGTCTGTGGACAAACACTGGCTCCCTCGGCTAGGAAACGGATATGAGCACCGTCCCCTAGAGTCAGGTATGACTGGACTTAATGTCAAGGGGAAACCTTTACCTTTACTTAATTCTATACCCAAAAATCAGGAGGTATTTTCACCCAGATTACCAACTAGGGAGTCAGCTCCCCCTAAAGAATCTGGAATGTATTATCTGGATTTGTTCATTTCAGCTTAGGCTGTTGGGGAAGCCTGGGAATTTGTTTGTTTATTTGTTTATTACATTTATATGCTACACCCGTAGCTGGCAAAGCTCTCTAGGTGGCTTACAGTAAGTAATAACAACAATAAAACCACAATGAGAAGATAAAATCCAATTAAAACAATATGACAATAAAATAAAAACCAACAATAAAAAATTTAAAACAATCAAGTCAAATTTCTTAAACATGAAGTTAAGAACAATTAAAAGATTTAAATACAGTCCAGCAGTTAAAAGAGGCAGCAGTAAGAGCAATAAAACACATTCAAACCAATTAGTTAGCAAATCATCATCATCATCATCATCATCATCATCATCATTATTATTATAACATTTCTATGCCACCCCTTGCCGAAACCTCGGGGCGGCTTACAACATGATAAAATACATTGAAATACAATAGTACATAATAAATTACCATTAAATACAAAAATACAAAAAATACATTGATTTACAAATATAAAATTAAAATTATCAGTATAAAATAAAAATATAGGAGAAAGAGAAGGAAGAAGAAGTTGCCCTGGCCAGATCATATGTTTTAACAATTGAAATGATGTTTAAATAAAAAGGTCTTTACCTGGCGCCGAAAAACCAGTAACGACGGTGCCAGGCGGACCTCTTTGGGGAGTGAATTCCACAGGTTGGGCGCCACCGCAGAGAAAGCCCTCCTCCGGGTACTTACTCTCCTAATTTCTTTCATGGAGAGTTCCCAGAGAAGGGACTCTCCCGCAGATCTCAAAGGGCGGTCGGGCATATACGGACGTAAGCGCTCGTTCAGGTAGCCAGGATCCAAGCCGTTTAGGGCTTTATAGGTCATAATCAACACCTTGAATTGGGCCGGGCTTCAATGGGAAGCCAGTGAAGCTGACGGAGGACTGGAGTCATGTGAGCATAACGCCCCGTCCCCGTCAGCAACCTGGCAGCTCTATTTTGCACCAATTGAAGTGTTCGGACTGTCTTCAGGGGAAGCCCCATGTAAAGTGCGTTACAGAAGTCTAGGCGGGAAGTCACCAGCGCGTGTGTCACCGTCGCCAGGCAGTCGTACTCCAGGTAGGGGCGCAGCTGATTAATCAGCCGAAGCTGAAGGAAGGCGTTCCTCGCCACCGCTGTCACCTGAGCTTCCAAAGAAAGCTCCGGGTCGAGGAGTACTCCTAAGCTGCGGACCTTATCCCTAAGAGGGAGTGTTGCACCATTCAGGACCAGGTCAAATCCACCCTCTCCGAAACCCGATCCGCCAACCAACAGGACCTCCATCTTGTCTGGGTTGAGTTTCAGTTTATTGGCCCTCATCCATTCCCTTACCTCGGCCAAGCACCGGTTCAGCACAGCCACTGCCTCACCTGGATTAGAGGAGAACGAGAGGTAAAGCTGCGTATCATCAGCGTATTGATGATTCCGCAGCCCACACCTCCTGATGACCTCTCCCAGCGGTTTCATATAGATGTTAAATAGCAGAGGGGATAGAATGGAGCCCTGTGGTACTCCATGGCATAGCTGCCATGACGTAAAGACATGGTCCCCCAGCACTACCTTCTGGAATCGACCGTTGAGATAGGAGCGGAACCACTGCAAAGCAGTGCCTCCAACCCCCAATCCCGCAAGTCTATCCAGAAGGATACCATGGTCGATGGTATCGAAAGCCGCCGAGAGGTCCAGAAGAACCAACAGGGATGTACTCCCCCTGTCCTTCTCCCTGCACAGGTCGTCGTACAGGGCGACCAAGGCAGATTCAGTACTGTACCCGGGTCTGAAGCCGGACTGAAAAGGATCCAGATAATCAGTTTCATCCAAGAGTGCTTGGAGTTGTCCCGCCACCACTCGCTCCAACACCTTGCCCAGAAACGGGATGTTGGCCACAGGTCTATAGTTAGTGGCCATCTCTGGATCCAGTGACACTTTCTTCAGGACCGGTCGTATTACCGCCTCCTTTAAAGGGGCAGGCACTCGACCCTCCCTCAGAGAAGCGTTAACCACTTCCAAGATCCAGGTCCCAATCCCGTGCTTGGAGTTATTTATTAACCAAGACGGGCAAGGATCCAATAGGCAAGTGGTGGGACGTACTCTTCCAAGCACCTTGTCCACATCATTGGGCCGCAATAATTGAAATTCCTCCAATAATTTTGGACCAGACAGTACATCTACAGAATAAAACATCTACAGAATAAAAAAATTTCACCTGATGCCAGAAGGAAAGAAGCAACAGAGCCTGACATATCTCTTTGGGAAGCAAGTTTCAAAGGTGTGGCACTACTACAGGGAAGGTCCTTCTCCTGGCCGTTTTCCCCACACTTCACTGGGGGGGTGGTACCTGGAGAAGGACCACTAATGAAGATCTTAGTGATTGGGCAGGAACATGTGGAGACAGGCATTCCCTCAGATATCATGGTCCCAAGCTGTTCAGGGCTTTATATGTTAAAATCAGCACTTTGAATTGTGCCCAGACAGCAGTCAGTGCAGCCTGTGAAGGACTGGCTTAACATGCTCTTGAAGGCCAATCCTCATCAGGATTGCCCTGTTCTGAATAAGTTGCATTGCCCAAACTCTTTTCAAAGGCAGCCCCATGTAGAGCACATTGCAGTAATGGAGGTGTGAGTTGACCAGTGCATGGATAACTGTAGCAAGGCTCTGCTCATCTAAGTAGGAACATAGCTGAAAAACCAGCCTAGGCTGATAGAAAGCGTATCTGGCTACTGAGTCTACCTGAGGGGTCCAGGAGCACTCCTAAGCTATGAATCCTGACCTTTAGGGGGCCTGTGACCCCATCCAGGACAGATTGAAAATATCCCAGTTGTGCAAATAATCTGCCTACTAACTGCACCTTCATATTGTCTGGATTGAGTTTCAACTTGTTGGCCCATATCCAGTCTATTATCAACCCCAGGCATTAGTTAAGAAGGGTCACAGCCTCACCTGGATTACATGAGAATGAGAGTTCAAGCTGCGTGTCATCTGCATATTGATGTCACTTCAGCCCAAACCTCTAGATCACCTCTCCCAGCAGTTTCATGTAGGTGTTGAAAAACGGGACAGAACGGAGCCCTGCAGAACTCCATGGCACAGAGGCCATGGCACAGAGCAATGGTCCCCTTGGGCCACCATCTGGAGACTATCTGCTAGGTAGGAACGGAACCAGTGCAAAGCAGTGCCCCCAGTTCTCAGCCCAGCCAACCTCTCCAGAGGGATACCATGGTCAATGGTATTGAAATCAGCTAAAAATCCAGGATAATCAACAGAGTAACATTCAACTTGTCTCTCTCCCAGAAAAGGTCATCCCACAAGGCAACCAAGGCAGTTTCAATTTTAAAACAAGGAAGCCCAGCTGAAATGGATCCAGAGAATCCTTTTCTTCCAAGAGTGTTTGGAGCTGCCCAGTCACAACCCAATCTGTCACGTTGCCCAAGAAGGGAATATTGGCTATTGGCCTATAATTATTTACATCAGGCAGGTCCAGGTTAGGCTTTTTCAGGAGTGGTGCAATCATAGCTGCCTTTAGGGGGCTTAGCACCATTCCAGGTGTTCACAACCTCCTGGACCCAGGCACAAGTCTCCTCCTTAGCTTTCCCAATTAGCCAAGATGGGCAAGGGTCGAGCAAACAGGTAGTGAGCCGAAGCTGACCAACCACCTTGTCCACATTCTCATCCAACAGAATAGAACCAAATGGTGCTCTGGACACCTCTGCCAATGGATAACTGTGGTGTCCAATTTGCTATGAATCTGAGCGACTTTATCCTCAAAGTGTTGTGCAAATCCATCACAGTGGTTCAATAAAGTCTCTTTTTGAGCCAGAGTGTAAAAGACCCTGAACCACTCGGAAAAGCTCTGCTGGACAACACTGCGAAAATACAATGTGCCACCTGCACTGCCATGGAATAGACTTGATAGTGAGCACTAAGCCACGTCCGATTCGTTACAAGTTTTCCTCCACCTGAGCTCTAGCTATCTCTCTTGTAGGGCCTTTTCACTGTCCGCACCTGCACAGACTTGCAGCCTTATTGATTATTGTGCTATGGACTGTGGGATGGGTCTGTGACACAAAATAAATAAGGCAGACTAAATAGCACTCCCAGTTGCTGGGGTTCTTGCAAGGTGACTCTTCTTAAGCATGGTTGCAGAGTCAAGATCATAAAACTTAACTGATAGAAAGAGCCTGGCAATTTATTCTTGTTTTGTAAATATGGAATACATGAATGAGGATTCTAAAAAAGCAAGTAGAGTGGGAACAAGCCATTTGAAACTATGCAAAACTGAAGAATATATGCCTCTGCTGGTAGGCTATAAACCAGATATGACAGGATTGATGAAAATCCTGGTTCAGTGCAAGCTGTGATATCCTATTTCCATTCCACCTGTATGTGTTATTGCTTGGACTATAGAACTGGTAACTGAAGCCTGGTAATCCAGTTGTGCTACTACCCTTGGAAAGTCAAATCTGTATGGGGTGTCTTTGCTCTCATGTAAACTGTGCTAGCCTTAAGGTCAAGACAGATTCATTTGCATGTTTTACCTTATTGTTCTAGATAAACCTATTCCAGCTGAACGCCGCCGGGGTTCCACCCATGACATCCCACTTCCTCCTATCCCATCTGGTGTTCAAAAGTAAGTGTTTCTCAGCTGCTTAAAAATATATATTTATTGTGACAGGCTAGCCTTCCCCAAAATGGTACTCTCTGGAAGTTTTGAACTGCATCTCTCAGCATTCCTGATCATTAGCCATACTGGTGGGAACTGATGGCAGCATGGCCCCAAACAAATGGAGGGCACCAGACTGGAGAAAGTTGCTGCAGAGCATAATCTTCTTTAGCTTTCAAAGACTAAAAGAAAGAACAACTTGGATTAAAATGTTTATTGGAGAAGAAGTGAGATTAGGTACACTGTTGTCCTGACACCAGTAAGGCTTCCATACTGCCACCTAGCAAGACTAGAGGAGAGCCAATGTGGCATAGTGGTTACAGTGTTGGGCTGGGAGTCAGACAATTCAGGTTCTGTTCCCTACTCTGTCATTAAGCTCACAAGGTCACTGACTCTCAGCCTCCTCTAACTCACAGGGTTGTTTTGAGGATAAAATGTAGACCAGGAGGAAGATTGTGTAGAGTATCTTGGCTTTCTTGCAGAAAAAAGGGAAGATATTGATTGATTGATTGATTGATTGATTGAAGACTTCATATTGCAATACACATGTAGTTGAGGCCAAAAATGGCAACCGCACATTTAGCCCTTATTTCTGCATCCTCTGGTTGAATTGCCTTATATTGCAATGTCACCTTCAATACACCTCCACAACCAGTTGCAACAGACAGGAAAATGTGATCACCATTCCCTGCTACTAAAGAGGAGAGGCAGATGGGAGCTAAAAACAACAGCTGTTGTCTTGAGCTGCAACAGTGGATTGCATTCAGATCAAGTTATACATACATACTTCCACTAAAACCAATGAGACTGAAGTTAGTACTGTCTGAAATCAACCCACAGTTGTTGCCAAGGATGACAGACATGCATTAAGCTTCCATCTATTCCTCCTCTTCAGTAGAGTACCTAACTAATGTCCTGTTGATTTCAATGGGTCTAATGACTGCATCTGAGAAAAAGAATTAACACCTTACAATAAGTAGTTTCATGTAGATGTTGAATAACATGGGGGATAGAATGGAACCCTGTGGTACCTCATGGCTTAATTGCCATGTTGTAGAGCAACTATCCCCCAGCACCACCTTCTGGAATCAACCAGTCAGGTACAAGCAAAACCACTACAAAGCAACTCCCAACTCAGCCAGCCTATCCAGAAGGATACCATGGTTGATGGTATCAAAAGCCACTGAAAGATCCTGGAGAATCAATAGGGTTGCACTCCCCTTATCTCTCTTCCAGCACAGGTCAACCCACAGGGTGACCAAGGCAGTTGCCACTCCAAAACCAGGTCTGAAGTCTGAGTAAAATCAGTTTCATCCAAGAGTGCCTGGAGCTGCCCAGCCACCACCCACTCAAGCACCTCACTCCGAAAGACCTATAGTTGTTATTATCCTCTCAATCCAGATTAGCCTTCTTCAGGAGAGGTCTGATCATGACCTCCTTCAGAAAGGCATTTATGACTTCCTGGACTCAGATATGCATCCCTTCTTTGGTTCCAGTGAGCAACCATGATGGGCAAGGGTTCAGTATACAGGTGGTAGGCCAGACTTAACAAAGCATCTTATCCACATCCTCAGGTCTCAACAATTGAAACTCACCCATCAAAATTGGACCAGATGGTGCTTTGGATGCCTCTGTTAAAGGAAATGAATCAAATGTGGAGTCCAATTCATGATGAATCTGAGTGCTTTTATCCTCAACATGCTGTGCAAATGTACCACAGCAGGCTACTGAGGGTTGTCCAGGGTCCTTCTTTGGCTCAGCTTGTAAGAGGCTACAAACTATTCCAAAAAGCTGTGGAAAAGTTTTTCTTCTTTACTACTTCAGTGCCATGGAATAGGCTCAATAATGTGCTCTGACCTGTACTTGCTCAGAATCAGCATGGGTTTTCCTCCACCTGTGCTCTGGCTGATTCTCCACTTGCTTTATTCCCCTCATTTCAGCTGTATACCACGATGCTGAACAGGCTCTGCCCAGGGGAAGAGGGCATTGGGATGCGATCGTGTTCACCACCCAGGCCATTTCTGCATTATACCAATGGATCTTGGCTTTGACAGGAGCACCAATCATACCAACTGGAAAATCCCCCAGACCCCTCTGGAAACCATTTGGATCCATTGGACTCTGGGGGCAGACCATTTTAATAGTTTCCATACCCTTGCAGAGGGGAAAGGAAGCTGAGAACCTAAATCTCAAAAGGAAATGGTCTGACCATGACAAACGGGTTGATGGTAATCCCCCACACTTACATATCGGCATGCTCCTGCTCAGTTAAAAAACCAGGTTTAAAGTGCGACTTTTCTCATGTTGTTGGGCTGGTGACATCTTGACACAGTCCCATGGTTGTCATGGCAGCAACCTGAACTGCCCCAAATAAAGCAGTCTCAGCGTGGACACTGAGATTCCCCTGGAACCACCATTCTGGGGATCCTCAACACCAAGGAGTGTTGAGGGGATCCTCAATGCTCAAGGCCACCTCCATCAGCTCAGGCAGGAAGTCTCATGGGCAATACATCAGCAGAATTCCTAATCTGTCTCAGGTATCCCATACAAGATATAAACACTCAAGACCTGCCTTTGAGTGGACAGAAAGCCTTGAGAGGGATAATATTCTTATAGACCATGGCCACCCACCTCCCCAACCTTCAAGACAATGTTGGTGCTGCACCAGGTGCCTAGGCAGGCACAATTAGGAGAGGGTCTCCCCTTATCTCCCCCACTCTGGTCTCAGTAATACAAGCCAAGTCAGCTGCCTCATCCACAATCAAATCATGAATGAGTGGGGTTTTATTTTGGACTGACCTGGCATTTCAAAACAGCAACAGCACGCTTGAAGGTAAGTTGATACAGCTACCAGGAAACATCTGGTTGGGGAAAGAACCAGAAGAGGGGGCAGATGTGAGACATTTGACCCTTCTTCTCTTTTGCTGGCTAGTTAATCTAATGTCATACCTCCACCTATCCATAACCACTATTATAGGGGCACCGCATTGCCCTCCAAAGTCCCCCAAAGACATATTAAAACTACATAAATCTAGAATGTTAAAATAAAACTCATGGCCCAAAATTGTTACTACAAAGTTTCATTGCCACAGCCAACAAAAGCCAAATGGGCAATGTCTTTTAGCCCTTAGTGGCAGCTGGCAAATAAGGACTCCTGCCAGCAGAAGCCCCCCTCCCTGCCCCCAGTCAGCAGATCAGCTGCAGTGGCTTCAGAGAGGGGGCATAGTGCAAGATCAGAGGCTGGTGCAAAAGCTGGTATGATGGAAGCATGGTCTGGGCAGTGTCGGGTGAGCGTTACTAGCCTCTTCTCCTTAGCACCCTAGAATGGCTGGCAAATAAGGCCACCTGCTGGTGGAGTCTGGCAAGGTCATTCCCCCAGCTGGTGGGTACCCCTTCCCCACCTCCCTGGGTGCTCCATGACTGGAAAAGCTGCTCCAGAGCACAGGTGGTCAGCTGCAGCAGCTGGGAGGGCGTGGCACAAAGGCTGGTGTGGTGGAATTGCAGTCTGGGCAGTGTTGGGCAGGCCTCGATCTCCTCCTCTGATTTTTATGCCCTTAATTTTTCTTCACTGTTGAGTGCTAACCTTCTTTATGGCAAAGGAAAGAAATAGCAGCACTAACAATGGGCAAAGTGCAGGGCCTCAAAGTTATGATGTTTGATGCCATCCAGCACTTATTGAATCTCCTACCATTTTTTTCAGGCCATTGCCTCAGAAACCGTCCATCTTGCCAAGTAAGTACTTGTTCGTTTAAACCAAGGTGGTTTCAAATCTATGTACCTTTACCTGGGTGGAACCCATACTGGCAGCTGTGATGGGGGCAGCAGTGCAACAGTAAACTTAGAAGAACAGGTATTCATTCTGACAGTCCCCTCGCCAGGCCTCCTAGGAAAGGCCAAAAAATCAGGCAATGGTTTTGATTCACATCAAATAAAAAGTTCCAGCAGATTTCCACTCCAGCAGGACCAAGTCTTTTGCAAAACTCATGGGTCTTAATTGCCTACTGATGATCAGCTTGCCCCCAAATGCAACAGGAATCAATATATCGTTCCTGGAAAATTCATCTTCCCAACGCACAGACACACACTGCTACCGTGATAATGGCAGCTAAGTTCAGAGGAAACAGGAAAGTGTGAGGAGGATGGCATATGTTATTAGTACCCTACTAATTAAAAAGTGCCACTGCTTTGTCCCTTCGGGCCTTGGCTTCAGCACATCACTGACTCTGGATAAAGATTGTTCACATTATGTCTTTATCTCTGATGTGGTAAAGCAAATGAGCAGTCCTGAGCAAAGCAGCAAAGACAACAGGGTAAGGCAATAGCGCTGAGACTTTATGTCATCCTAAGAACATCAGAATTTTGCATGATCAAATAACCACCTAAAGGATGTAAGCTTGCTTGTTAACATTGCATCTTCTTTAGGATCACCAGAGCCTGCAAATCGCACCTTAGGTAAACCACGCAATAGCAATCAAGGTGGCTTTGCAACATCAGAGCAGGTATTTAAGTTCTTTTTCTGTAAGCTTTGAGTCAAAATCTAATGGGTTCTTGGGATTATAAAATGACAAACCTCAGCTAAATGTTTGGGCTCCTCATGTTACAGTTCTAGTTCATCACAGCCAAAAAGCATACTCGTTTAATTATTCTTCCATTTACAAGAAATTAAAATCTTGGGCAAATTACAGATCTTCCAGCCAAATGCAGATAATCTGGCCTTAATGATAGGCATATCTTTCAAGATTATTCATGTTCTTAGAAACATCTTGCTAGACTGCCATCATATGAGGCCTTCTCCAGGTACTCCTGCCAAATGAAGTTAGTCAGGAGCCCACAGGAGAAAGGACCTTTTCAGTGGTGATACCCTGTGTGCAATATTCCCACCCCGGAAATCATGGCTGGAATCTACAGTATGTTCTTTTCAGTATGAAGTGAAGACCTTTTTATTTTCCCAGGTATTTTAACTGTTCCTAGAGCTTTGTAATCTTTGCACTCTTATATCCTTGCTGTTCATTTTACTTGTGATTTTATTAGGTGCTGCTGTTAATTGTAATCATATTTTTATTTATTTATTTATTTAGAATTTTTGTATGACATCCCATCACTTATTAGATTCATGATATTTATTCTTTTTACTGCCACTTTATATTGTATGTGTTTGATTTGTACATCATCCAAAGAACGTCAATTATTGGACAGTTAAAGTGTAATGAACTAATAAATGAAATGGATAGGTTTGCGTAAAAATAAGTAAGCATAGAAAATCAGTGCTTTTTAAAGATGTTCATAGAAATGACCTTCTTTTTCACAGGATGCAAATGTTCAAGGCAAACCATGGTATATGGCTTCCAGTGATCGGAAAACAGCTGAGGATGCATTATACAAATCCAACAAGGTAAAATATGCTTCCTTGAAACAGTGAAAAGCCAGCAGTGACTTTTTAGAAATACAGAAGGGATCAGAGATTGACTTTTGCCAATCAATGAAACATTTTGATGTATATTTCTAACAGACATCAATGGTAGTCATTATAGGTTCTTGGGAAATGCAGTCTCCACAATACTTTTTTTCAGTTACTTTGTGCTGACTAGTTCCTATGTGTATTTAGACAGAAATAGGTTGCAGGACATTTTCTTGTCTAGACCTAGGATTCCATCCTTAAGAAAAAAAAGTGAAACAGCCATCACTTCTACTAAAGTTGGTATTAATGGAATAGAATTGTCTTCTTAATGATCTAGAATGTGGGATTGTGGAAGTTTCAAACGCTGGTTTGCCATGCATCCAATCTATGCATGGCCATTGAAGATGGAGAATGAATTAAAGGAATCTCTAAATTAGGAGACATGATAAAGATAGGACTCAATGAAGATTTAATAACTGGTGATTCCATCCAATGAAAAGACTTTGGAACTTGACATCTCTTTAAGAGATAGGCAGTCCTTTATCAAGGAATGTCCATAACCACTTCAGTCATCATAACCATATAAAACTAAGATAATAAGTATAAAAATTACTATGAAAATGTTGACTTGATCTAAAACCCTGGCACAGATTATTGATATCTTTCTTAGACCAGTAGTCAACCTCCCAGCAGTTGCATCCTAGGTGACCAATGCCATATCCTATTATGTTTAATCAGTCTATTGTATACATACACTAATAGTGTCTTGACTTATTTTTAATTATATTGCATTTATATCCCACCTTTTTTACCTCTTGCAAGAAACCCAAGGAGGCTTACATAGCCTCATTTTATTCTAAAAACAACAATCCTGTGATGTAGGTTAGGCTGAAAGTGAGTGACTGGCCCAAAATCATCCAGAAAGTTCTTCTCCATGGTTTCCATGCATTCACACCAATGGACTTGACACAGAGCGCAAGGCCTCGATCAGAGAAAAACTTCCAAAGCTCAGTGCCATGAAGTGGGCAGGACCCTGGCCTGACCCCTGTGCAGGCAGCATAAAGTTGGAAGCTTTGGAAATTTTTCTCCAAGCCCATTGGTGTGAATGCACGGATGATCCCTTGAAGAACGAGTTACAAGTAAGAAACTTGACCTTTCTTGGCTGAGTGGGGATTAGAATCTGGATCTTCAAGGTCCCCAATCCTACACTCCTATCACCACACCAGCTCACACCACATCACATTGGAAAAAGCCAACATTCCATACCTCAAACATGGCTTAGTGGAAGCTGAAGATATATTAATGGGTCTTGCATCAGATAATTTTATGGTCAAAATTGGTTTTAGTTATGGAAGCAAAACGAACTTCATCAAAGGGGTGGACACCAAAAGCGAATTGTAACAAAAGCAAATCAACCCAATATTGCAGAATCCACATCTCACAGAATTCAAACACCTATCTCTTGAAGAAATCCGGGGCAGGGGGGAGACTAAGAAAAATTTATTACGGTATAATTAACTCTAATTGCTCCTTGTATTTTCTCTTCTCTGTTTTCTTTTGTTGTTTAGGATGGATCATTCTTAGTAAGGAGGAGTTCTGGGCAAGACTTAAAGCAACCATATACACTAGTGGTGCTTTATAACAAGAGAGTATATAACATTCCAATCCGGTTTATAGAATCAACAAGACAATATGCCCTGGGTAGAGAAAAAAGTGGTGAGGAGGTGAGTGCTTTCTTCTTTGTTTTATACCTCAATACATGAATAGGAATTTTCTTTACACTGCTTATTAGCATGTTGGCTTATAAAGATATTTCATAAAAATAACTAATAAAACCATAGGGAACTAAATAGAACATAAAATTGCTCAATCCAGTAAGGACCTAATTTAGGTGAATGAAAGGATTGTAAATCCTTTTTAACAATCAAGCCCTGCTTCCACCCTTCACTGAAGAATTTCAACTGGAAACCTTTAACTGTAGTTCTTCTTTGTGGTCTCTGTGCAATCACACATATGGGCTTTGCCATGGAGCGCAAGGCCTTCATTGGAGAGAAACTTCCAAAGCTCAGCGTCAGAGTGGGCAGGAGCCCCAGCCCACCCTTTCCGGAAGTCCAGATAATGGGAAGGGGCTCCCGCCCAGTCCCTCAGCTTCATTTCAACCACACACCAAGTCGCATTGCCATCAGAACCTCCGTTGCCCTAGCTCATGTTTTTCCTTTCATTCTTCTCTACCCTCTGTATGTACTCAAATAAATAAAACTCTTACCTCGTTCCTCTGCAAAGGGGAAAAGGAATAATTCCCTATTTCTCCCTTCATGCTGCTTTCTAGCTGTTTTCTCTTCTGACCACATGGCTGGTGCCTCATGCACCAACCCCCTCCTGGCTGCAGACAGCCTATTCTGCTAGACCCTTACCTTGCCTTTCCTGACCAGGGGCCAAGAAACTGCCTCCCACCAAGGATGTTGCACACCCTACCAGGCACGTTAAGAAAAGGACAGCTAGCAGACCCAGGCTGCCCCTAAATCCAAAAAGCGCCACATGGCTAAGGCCACCGCACCTTCACATGTGCCGCCACTTGTCAGCCGCTGGGAGCAGAGTGCAAAGTGCCTGCACTGTCTCGGCCCCCTCCCCTACATGCCTGTGCCACCCGTTCCACCCATTTCAACAGGCCACTCTTACACAGCGCACGACCTGACCACTGGAGGACTTCAGGGATCACTCCTCTTGTCCCGACAGGGATGGCTCTTCATCATCAGCCCACGCTGGGCATATGCTGCCGCCATCTAGGCCACCGGAGTGGGAGCCCCTCAACTCCTCTGACACCTCCACAGATCAGGGCTGTTTCAGGCCACCAGGTCTGCACCGCCACTGCCATCTCAACCACTACCCCAACATAGTCGTACCTACTTCATCTCGCCTGGACTGGCATGTTCGAGGTCATGCACGCATGTGCTCCCTCAGCACCGAGACTGCACTAACACGCATGATGTCTAGGAGGACCTGCACCTCCTGTTGGAGCAGTGTCTGCAGGCCCACCCTGAGAGGGCACTGCCTCAACCACCAGCCCAACACAGTCGGACCTACCTCCTCTCAGCCTCGGCCTGATGCCAGACACAGTTGCCAACATCCCATGCCGGACTGGCATGATCGAAGGCATGCACATGCACTCTCTCGACGTCAAGGCTGCACCAGTGCTCATGGCATTGAGGACCAGCACCTCCCATTGAAGCAGCGTCTGCAGGCCCACCCTGAGAAGGCTGCTTCTACGCGCCCTGCACGCGCACACGCTCACCCAAATGAGGAGCGCCTGGGCTCCGACGCCGGTTCTGCTGCTACCACCAGCCCCGCTGCCGCATCACCCGTCGCCGCCACCCCATCTCACCCCTGGACACGGGAGTGCCCACAACCAGGCCGATTGCTGGCGCCACTCTCACAGTCCTGTCCAGCCTCCGCACCCCCATTATGAGTGCCTCCTCAGTATGGCTGCCATGGATCGTCCTCAAGGGATCAGGTCAGAGTCCCTCCTCCTGCGTACCTTGGTCTCAGGCCCTTTTCCCAACTGGTCCCCTGCACGGAGGATGACCCCAGCCTTCTGGCCTTGCACCAGGCCAAGCCTGAGATTGACCATGTCCTCTGCCCGCCCATCCTCAGGGCACTCAAGGCCAGTATCCATCCCTTGCCTGTCAGTCCTGCTGCACGCAACCCAGAAGTGCTAGACGCCCCCCTCCACAGCAGCATTGTCCACAACACGCAAAGTGGGCTGCACCCATGAAGTGGTCGACACACCCTTCTGCTTCCTCCATCAACCCACCCAGGTCCAGTTCTGTGGTAGTGGTGCACATGCAAGGGACTGCCCAGAGGGGCTAGTCCATTCCAGTGGACAAAGGACACTGTCCTGACAGCCCAGCTAAGGAGTTTGCTCCTCCCTGCCATTCAAGTCTTCAGCTACAAGGCCACCATGGCCAGGTGGCATGAGATCTATGGAGGAGCAGCTATGCAATGACCTTCACAGTGCAGCCTGCCTGCTCCACACTGAGGTGGATAAATTGTCAGGTTTCAAATAGAGGTCACCAGACACTGGCACTGCTGGTGGCAGTAGCCATATGCCTCCAGTCTTGGCTGTGGTCTGTGGCCTTCCCCACGAGGCACAGGCCCGTATTGAGGACCTGCCTGTCAGGGAAGGTCATCTTTAATGTGCACACTATTGAGAGTATGGACTCTCTGCACAAGTGCGTTCCACTCCAGGTGCATGGATTACACACATCAGCAGCCGCAACACACATGGCAAGGAACCCCTTCCAGCAATAGCCTTAGCTGCTTTCCAGAGGCGTAACACTCACCATACCAGAGGCTCCCGCCCAAGCACCAGGACAACGGGCACGGGCGCTGAGATCTTGGTCCAGGCAGCCGCACCCCACAGGGTCCCTACTACACAGCTGCATGCATTATCGGGCTCAGTTCCTTCCTGCATGGAATTTTTATACTGTACCACTGCTGGGTTGCATTAAGACCACACCATCCTCTCCAGCTTTGACTGATTAAGGGCCTTACTGTCCAAGGGAGCAACAGAACAAGTCTCCACAGACCTAAACAGGGGCTTCTAGTCCTGTTATGAACCAACTGAAGTATCTGGACCGTCTTCAAGGGCAGCCCCCCATAGAGTGTGTTACAGTAGTCCAATCAGGAGGTTACCAAAGCATGGGTCACCATTGCAAGGCTTTGCTCACCCAAGTAGGGCCATAGTTCATGGATCAGCCAAAGCTGAAGGAAGTCAACAGGGACTCCAAAGATAACTCTGGGTTGAGGAGCACTCCCAGACTACACACCCTGTTCCTTAGGACTGCAACCCCATCCAGAACAGGACAAAGGTCACTTACCTGGAGAGCTGAACCAACCACCAACAGGACCTCTGTCTCATCTGGATTAAGCCTCAAATTATTGGCCCTCATCCAGCCCATCACTCCAGACAGACATCAGTTAAGGACAGCCACTGCATCACCTGGATCAGATGTAAAAGAGAGGTAGGGCTGGGTGTCATCAATATAATGATGACTCCTCAGCCCAAACCCCCTGATGACCTTTCCCAGTGGTTTCATGTAGATGTTAAACAGCATGGGGGATAAAATGGAACCCTGCAGAACTCCATAGCATAACTGTCATGGCACAGACCCATAATCCCCCAGCACCACCTTCTGGAATCAGCCCATCAAGTAGGAGCGGAACCACTGCAGAGCAGTGCCTCCCACCCCCAACTCAGCCAGCCCACCCAGAAAGATTCCATGGTCTATGGTATCGAAAGCTACTGAGAGATCCAGGAGATCCAGCAGGGGTGCACTCCCCCTGTCCCTCTCTCTGCACAGGCCATCATACAGGGAGACCAAGGCAGTTTCAGTCCCTTACCCAAGGTCTGAATCCAGACTGAAATGAGTCCAGATGATCAGTTTCCTCCAAGAGAGCTTGGAGTTGCCTGGCCACCACCCACTAAAGCACCTTGCCCAGGAATGGGATGTTAGCCACAGTCTATAACTGGAGGCAATCTCTGGGTCTAGGTTTGCCATCCTCAAAATGGGTCTGATCACCACCTCCTTCAAGGGTGTGGGGATCCAACCCTCCCTTAGAGAGGCATTAACTACTTCCTGGACCCAGGTACACATCCTGTCCTTGGTTTTGGAGAGCAGCCATGAAGGGCAAGGGTTGAATGAACATGTAGTGGGTCAGTCTTGTCCAAGCACCTTGTCCACATCCTCAGGCCACAATAATTGAAACCTATCCAGCAAAGGTGGACCGGGCAGCACTCTGAACACCTCCTGCTCCAGGATCATATCAACTGTGCAATCCAATCCATGGTGAATCTGAGTGATTTTATCCCTAAAGTGCTGAGCAAAGTTGTCACGGTGAGCTGCCGATGGTACAATAGGGTCTGTCTGAGGCCCAGAATGTAATAGGCCCTGCACCACCCAGAAAAGCATAGCTGGATGGCACTGTGAAGATGCAATAGAAGCAGAGAAGAATTCCTTCTTCTCCACCCTCATCGCCACAGTATAGGCTCAATAATGAGCTCTCAAATGTGTTCAGTCCATTTCAGCATGAGTTTTCCTCCACCTACGCTCTAGTCATCTCCCAAGTTGCTACACAGGCTCTGCATGGTGGAAAAGGACACTTAGGGGTGATCATGTCAACTGCCTGAGTCATTTCTGTATTCCATAGATCAACTAGAGCGTTAACAGAAGCACCAGTAATATCAACCAGAAAGTCCCTCAGAGCGCACAGGAATCCATCAGGATCCATGACTCTGGGGGCAGACTAATTTAATTGGGTCCGTACCCCTATGGAGGGAGAAACTGGCCCCAAGTTTAAACCTCACGAGGAAGTGAACTAACCATGACAAAGGGATTAGTGTCACTTCTAGATCACCATCTTCCTGCCCAGTTGAAAAGACCAGGTCCAGGGTGTGCCTTTTCGTGTGTTGGGCCAGTGATATGTTGAGACAGCCCCATGGTTGTCATGGCAGCCATGAAATCCTGAGCTGCTCTGGAGAGCATAGTCTTGGCATAGAACCTGAAGTCCCCTAGAACTAACATCCTGGGGGGTCTTCAACACCAAGTCCGAGATGATCTCTGTTAGCTCAGGCAGGGAGTCTGCTGGGCTGAAGCGTGTGTGGTACACCAGTAAAATTCCTAATCTTTCTCACTCACCTAACACCAGGTATAAACACTAGAGACCTATCCTCAAATGGATGGGAAGTCCTCTGAGAAAGATGATATCTCTATCAATTAAGAGCTGGACTCCCTCCCCTTCCCTCCAGATGAGGCTGGTGCTGGGCCAGATACTCAGGGGGGCAAAGCTGGGTAAGCCCCATGCCTCCTGCTTCACCCAGCCACGTCTCTGTGATACATGCCAGGTTGCCTCCCATGGATGAGCAATATTTTGGACCAACCTGGCATTCAGCAACAGTCACACCAAGCTGGAGGGCCAAGTTGATATTACTACCTGGTATTGTCTGGGTGGGGGAAAAAACAAAAGCGGGGACAAGTACTAAGCATCTGCACTCCCCTTGGGGTCAGAATTCTTAGTTGAATGGCCAATGGCAGTGAGTTCTGAAATAAGCCAAGCAGCTGATGAAAACCAGGAACCCATGATTTGAGGGGAGACACTATGGAACAGGGAGAGCAAAATGGGGAGAAATGTAACTAAACTGTTTTCACCATTTGACACCAGGTCTAAAGAGCTAGTCAATTAACTAATGTCCAATGATCCTGCCAAGTGGCCCACAAGCAGCAGGAACCTCCCTTAGGGAAGGAGCTAACTCCATTTGATGGAAAGTGTTGAAGATTCAGTTTGGATTCAAGCATGTACAGTACTCAGTCCCTAAGTAGCTGGCACGTTAACTTGGTAACTTTATATTATCCTCTTTATATCACAAAGCTTTAACATAAGACTGTAGTCAGAAGCCTCTTGCTCTGCTGAGAAAGTAAATGTAGGTTTGGGGGAAGATGTCAACCCTCACCAGACAGTACACTAAATTTCACTCAAACTTGGAAAATGATATGGTAATACCAAAAAGTGAAAAAAACTGCAGGTTAGTAAAATAATCAGAAAGTTAAAATTAAAAACATGAAAGAACATAATGGAGCTTTTTGATTACTTCTTACTAAATTATACTGTTCCATTTTAATCTTTAAAAGAACATTTTTGCACATTTTTATAGATTTTCAGTAACAGTATATTTAAGTCAAACTGTTAAAATAATTTCTAGCTTTTGACACATTTTTTATTATTACAATGTAACATATTTTACTTTGATTCCCTAAAATGGGAAAGTGACCCAAAAAAAAAAAAAACCCAAAGCAAAACAAAACAGGACTTTGAAGAAAACTGAATGAAGTCGTGTTGCCTGCTTGAGATAACCATAGTTCTGAAGTACTAATTTACAATAGCAACAACTGAGAATATGGGTTGAATGTGTATTATCACTGAATCATGGTTTGCTGATGATTTCTGAGCTGTCATTACATGGGTACCATATAACCATTGAAAAATGGGTTACTAGCCACCAACAACCAAAATTTACAACACAACAAATCATGGGCTCTTTTTGTGGATTCATACTTTAGCTATAGGTATGAGCATGAATCAAGAACCCATAGACCCAGTTTGCACAATCAAAATAGCTCATTATTTATTTTCACCATGGTTGGCTGTGGCATGTACTGGGAAGAATTTGCATGTTTATGGCTAAGCCACAGCTTGTCATGTCATGCAAAGCTAGGAAGCATAGATCATGTGATCATGGGTTATGTGAGCATTGTTTAATATTTGCATAATCTACAGGACCTCAGGGTTTGCGTGACAGAAACTATGCTGACAATGACTATTCAAAATGCCCATCTGAGCATACTGCAGACCTTACTTTAAGGCAGGTTGTGGTGCTGTTTTGTTGAACCACCCATGCTTCACCACCACTCAGCATGTACTGTGTTGTCATTACATACAAACCAGATCATTGGGTGGTTTTGTGTGTTTTGCCCTTTTCTGGGGCAGGGGATTGGTTTTGGACAGCTCTTCAATTTCGAAATGAAGCATCACTGCTACCAAATCTAAGGTTTCCTTCACGTTTGTTTGAATGAACCAAGGAAACAAACTCCATAGAAGTTACAGAGGTTGCACAGGAAATAGTGTTTATTTGGTTTCTTTTCCTGAGAATATATTTCTCCACTGTGTGCCATGCTCCTGCACAAAAATTAAACCTCCTATATATACTACTACTGTTCAGCCTAATGCTAACTCAGAAATTCCACTGAACTCATTGGCACTTACTCCCATGTAATGTGGAGTCTTTGCCATAGTATTTGAGAAAATGTAGAAATTTTTACATTCTGATATTTAACCCATCATTTACAGTCTTAAGTGGTAACTGTCAATTTCAAGTATTTAGAGCAATTTTGTCCAAAAACATGATGGGACCAACCTTAACAGCTCAATACCTTTATTTAGCAGAAACTTCAGTAACAACTTTATTTTTCAAGGAAAATAATCTTCTGGTGCAAATTCATATATGAAATTACTAACAAATATCAATAGAAAAGGATATAGAAATTCAGAATATCTAATGCTGAATTTTTTGGGTGTGAGCTATCATGAAAAAAAATCAATCAATCAATTAAAATTTTAAATTATGATTATTGAATGAATCATCATGATGCTGAGTATGCCATCTCCAACTTTGTTTTTTCAATCCAGCGCTTCGACAGTGTGGCAGAAATAATAGAGAACCATCAACAGACTTCTCTCGTTCTCATTGACAGTCAGAACAACACAAAAGACTCAACCAAACTTAAATATATTACTAGAGTTTCATAACTGCATTGAGGATCCACCATGAAATATCTTCCAGTCTTTATCACCCAGATGTTTGAGACTAAGCATTGGAATAAGCAAACAAACCCGTAAGAAGACTGCGCTCCAAAAACTTTTATCAAGAAGGATCACAGTATGTTCAGCCCACAAACTGTAAAATAGCGATTATATCTGAAAGTCAGTGTTAAAGGAACTGATGGTCCAATTCATTATGTAATGACCGTTCCAAAGTTGTTCCAGTTGTCATGTATTTGAGGTATATGTTCTATGAAAGCAATTTTAAACTCAATAGAGAATGAAAAGGCTTCCATGACATGTAATTTATTTTTTTTTAAATTGTACCTGCTACGGGTTCCTTATTCTTGGTAAAGTAACTTCTTGGTAAAATTCACATTAAAAACCTATGATGTTTCTGTCAAAATGAGCCATTACTCAACAAGCTAAAGGCATGTTTGCTTTTAATATGAAAATCTTTAAAATTCATAATTTCTGAATAATGTAATAGATTTGTACTGGTTTGGGCTGTGTTTGTTAGAATTATTGTTACATTTTTATTAAATGTACATAAAAGAATATAAAAAGAATTACTATGCATAAGAGTATATGAATGCAGAATTGTGATCCAGAGTATCTTATTGTAGCTCTTTCTCATTTAAAGTACATCTTATTTACTTCTCAAATGTTAAAAAGTCCAACTTAAATGAATGCCTCTGCTTTTTAGATTATACATTCCTTACATTTACTATTTTAATGTGAATATAGAAAATTATCAGATCAAGGTGTGGGGTCTTGACTTTGAAAATTTTAGACTGTATGTTATTTAAGCCACAGAAAAATGCTGGTTTTAATTCACAATTCTGCTCTCCCACTCTGACATCTTTTCCATCACTTGCATTTTACTTAGACCCTGGTGATTGTTTTTAATGAATTTTTTTCATTCAATTGTTCAATTATGCTGGAAAGTTGGGGGGCACATGGTTTGACACCTGGCTACCATAAACACCGAAGATACTTACATTCCAAATTCTAACATGTTTTATTTCAAGATGTGAGTTTAAAAATATTTAAAGCAGAGACTTGAAGTCACAAGCACATTTTTGTCAAAGCTCCAACTAGTCACCTCCAGTTAAGAGCAAATTTGTTTCCACTCATAATCCCATACTTATGATACTTTTATGTATATTCAATTTATTTTCAACTCTCTAGTCTCAAGGTGGATAAAGGTAATAAAAGGTATTTTCTTCATGTAAACAGTTACCAGGAATTCACATCCATCTTACTTCAAATAAGCATTTTACACCAAAATGTGGTGCTGGATTTATGTTATTTATGAATTTAGTTTTTTCTTCCTAAATCAACCATTCGATTTATAGTTTTGCAGCAAAGAAAAAATATTTTTCTGTATTGCTTCTTAGCAACTTATCCTACTGTATGGTAAATTAAATGGTTGGATTAAACTAGCCATGCATGGAAATCTACTCAGGACAATCCTGCTGGAGGAAAAGATTTTAAGCCAGTCCTCAAAAAATTGTGTGGGTAGGTCAAGGGGCCTCCCAAAAAACAGAGAGATAGTGATGTAGGGAGAAATCAGTGCAAATCTTCTCCTTCCCCCAGTAGCCTCCACTGGATTATTTTACAATTAAGATAATTATATATATTGGTAGGTTTCAGATTATATATATCTGAAGCAACAGTAGGTTTCAAATTAAATAACTTCAGAGTAAGATGATGATCTATGCAGTTCAATGGACAGAAGAATTTTGAGGCTGCCAAGAGTAAAGATCACTCCCCTATAATTAGGTTGTTACACCCTAACAGCAAAATACTGTGCCCCTATACCCAGAAGAAAGTTTCACTGATTCCTGTAAGCCATTTTTCAAATGAGTATTTGGATTGTAGTACGTGACTCAAATTTAATTTTCATGAACCTTGCACTTATCTATTCAAATGAAAAAGTTATTTTAACCCATCATTCAGTCCTATCAATAGATGTAAAGAAATAGCCATCAATGAACACCACTGATGTACTGCTCTAGAGCAAGGGAAATTCTAGTCAGAAGGTACAACAGCCCCTTTGAGGGCATTTTTCCAGCAATTTACAGAATCATCCTAGAAAGACCATTTAATTGCATTTACATATTTATGATTTGTACAGAATCAATTATTTACCCAGAATCTTTAGAAAATACATATAAAATATGAATCTGTTCAACCTTGTGAACTGAGACAAAGGATTAAAATTTAATAGCAATATTACAAAAAGTGATTGGCAGAAAAATTTTACAGTCACCTTACATACACCCAGTCACACAGCATTCAGAGTAGCAGTGTTGTGACAGAGAACAGAAGTCACATTATAAATTTACTGTTCGGCTGTTCTGCAGCTCAAGCTGCATGGCTGAACCCTTGAGGAAGGTGTGCTCATTTTAAAAAGCCTGGCAATGGTCTTAATGGTACTTTCTGCTGTGCATGCATCTTTGAACACTTAATCAACTTCAAGATGAGCCCTGTGTACTTCTGATTTTTTAATAAATACAAAATATAATTAATATAAAAATTGGAATGTCCACACATGGAAACAGATGTATCCTAAATCTCTAGAAGGTAAACTTGGTAAATCTATATTGTCACAATTTAAAAGAATAATTCCTATGTATCTGAAAAAAATCTGCTCAAGTAACTAAGACCAAGATTTCCTATTAGATAGCTAATTATTTAAATGTACAGTAAAGACCTGTGCTTCAGCCATGGTTTTAAATTATTCAATACAGTTATAAAACAATACATCTATATAAAAGATTTATTAACCTTTTAATAATTTAAAAGGTTAAATGTAGGGGAATTATTAGAGGTAATCCTGAATTGCATTTCTTCTTTAAAAGCACATCATTTTCCTGAGATATTTTACTTTGCAAGAACTGTTTCAACACTGAAAATGTTATTACAAATTTGAGACCCATTACAGTTGATTTTTCCCCTACTTACTGAAGACTGATTCTTGTCATCTGATAAGCATATTGTTTGTACAGAGACCCAATGGCAATCTAAGTACCAAAACATTGTTATAAATCAAGTTATTCACTTCCCTTATAGAACATAAATTCATTTTGTTTGTATATAATTTCCGTCAATACACAGGTTAATCATACATAACACCTGTTCTGACTTGCCTTACCAGGAATGAATGTCATCCTGGTAAAAGGGTTAAAACATGTGTATCCATCTTCTCACTTTGGCAAGGGGCAGGGTAAGAGAGGACATAATGCACACTCCAAACTTGGAGGGAGGGTAGTCTGAACACAACATGTTGCAGCACTGCAAGATTCATTTCCTATTTTGAGAAGGGCTGAATGAGAAACACGTACACAGTGCTACCTTGGCTCACAAACACCTCAGCTCACAACCAAATCGGGTCGCGAACAGAAATTTCAAAAAAAAATTGCCTCGGGTCGCAATGTGGCTCACCCTCCACATTGGGTGACCATTGTGATTGCGCTCATCTTCCCTGCGTGGACGCGATCACGGTTGTGCTGGGGGGAGGGGATGGAGATGGCCACGATCACGGTCATGCCGATGCAGGGAAGACGGGCACAATCGCGGTCATGCTGGGGGGGGGAGGGCTGCGATCGCACCCGTGTTCCCTGACTGAGCGTGACCGCGATCACGCCTGTCTATGGCCGAGGTCGCACTTGTGCAGGGATGACAGGTGCAATCACGGTCATGCTGGTGGGGAGAGATGGCTGCGTTTGTGCTCGGGGTGGAAGGGAGATGGCTGCGATCTTTGTTGTCTCTTCAAATTTTTGAGATTAAAAAGAATAGTTACAGAACTGATTAAACTTACATTGAACCTTATGGGGAAATTTGACTTGGCTCATGACCAGTTTGGGTCACAACCAGAGTCCTGGAATGGATTACATTCGTGAGCCAATGTACCACTGTACTGTTGCACATCTGAGACTTCTGTCTAATACATAATATCTGGACAATCCAATAGATTTGAAGATGCCACCCCATATTCCATGAGGGTGGAAGGCAATTAAGAAGTCTGACCAACTGTAGGCTTCAAGACAACAGTACTTTGTATATCAGATTTAGAATCAACACAAATGAGAGCCTGAGTCACTACAGCAAAAACCTGACATTCCTATAACATGACAGCCAATGCTATACTATCAGTATAGAGAAATTTAGTTTCAGGATCTAGGACACAACATATGTGAGACAAATGTTTTTCATTAGAATCAGAAAGGTATCTAAATATGGAAGAATTTTGTGTAAAATGCCCCAAGTTCCTTCAATTTTATGAGGCATCAATGTTTGTAATTAAAAAAAACCCAATCAAAACATTACCATCTTCACAAAGTCATAATCTGATTTCTAGCAAGACCAATGCCACTACAACCACAGCATGCCCTTTATATACATCTGGTAGCAAAATTATACTGATTTAGAAGAGATGACATGCATCCACTTGGAATGCACTGTACAAACTGTGAATACATTATACTTTCAACTGATTTCATTATCAGACTTAAACACAGTATCATGTTTATTTATGTATATGAAAAAATATTTCACTAAGAAAGTAGACAAACTGCACAGAAATAGTACAAGTGTCATGTGCATAGCAATATAGCTTAAAGCATTCACATATGGCTTTGTTTAAAAGAAACTGTTAGGAAACCTGGCCCTACATGGACCTATGGTTATACAGTCGACACAAAGTAAACTGTTTCACATCTTTTAGGCACTTGCTAACAACAGTGTTGAATCCCTGGAAAAGAAAGGGGAATTTTGTTTTCTGTTTGGAAAGATCAAGGAAAAATACAGCAATAGCTATGTGTAGCTGAAAAACATTTTTAGTAGTGCATGCACAGAGCTGGAAAAATACAATTCCTGTGCAAGATTTTATAGCAAATAACTGAAGTACAAAAATATGTACACACTTTGATTTTTAAATATATACAGAACAAAAAGCCCTGAAATTCATTCTCTAAATACAAATATATGACATGATCGTAATAACAAAATGTACTTTAAACTGCAATTGCAACTATTTAATTTAAATTCATACAAGTTCATTTTGGGTGCTACCACAAAACATTTTCCTTAAAAAAACACATAATGCTGTCATTCAAAATAATCTGCAATTTTGTTTTGCCTCTTCACTAATTATAATAAATTACCCTAATGAATTCCAGTCTCGAGTGGCTTCCATTAGATGACGCTGTCCATGCCCTACCCAGTTATCCTGATTGTCAAATATCCTCCCACAAAACCAGCAGCTAAATGTAGTTTTCAGCGTATTATCAGAGGTAGCTTTCACAATCTGATAATTGTTTTTGCTAGTCTTCTTCAGTGTCAATTTCAAAACAAATCTTTCTTTTACAGGACTTACAGGTTTTAGCACTCTGCGTTTTCTTCGAGAGAGATTATTAGTAAATATGTACAAACTGTTATTATAGTATGCTGGCTCCAAAAGAGCATCAATAGTTCTCTTTGACAAAGAAACCTTTAGCACATGTCCTTTAAATTTTGCAATAGTTTTCATAACATTTACAACTTCTGGAACATCTGCATCAGGGTGATTTAGTACTACAACTGGCTGATTTCTCCGGGGACATTTGACAAGTTGTTTAGAATTAAAAGGAAGCAACTTTAGTATCCTTACAGTGTCTTTTGACATTCTTGGTCTACAAGGGGCCTGAAGCAAGGACTCAAATTCATTCATATCCATTTGATTTTTCTCTTTACACTTTCGATGCAATATTTTTTTTCTAGGAAGTTCCTGAATGTCATCCTTAGCTTTCCGTTTCAAATTCCTGTTCTTCTGTGAAACCGTAGGGTCAGAAACTTTAGCACCACTTTGCTTTGAATGACGTTTAGCTTTTGAAAGCTTGTTTGTTATAGTCCCTGGTGATATTTGACTTGTAAAACTGCTCCTGTTCTTAGCAGTTATAGTTTGTGCTGAATCAGATGGGGTCTTTTGTGACCATGTCTTCACATGCCTAGAGGAATGTACAAATTCTGTAGAAGTGCAAGGATCCTTTGATTTATCACTTGCCAAACAGGCATTTGCAGGCACCAACCTACCTGGGAGACATAAGGCATCACTTGAAGAAAGAACTGTCTTTTTTGGATCAAGTGCAGGACTAGTATGGGAATGCATACTATTGAGCTGTAAAGATGACACAACATTGCTAACTGGCTGGCAGTTGTCAGAGGCAGGAAAAGTCTTAATTTTCAATAAAAGTTTCTGTTGCATTGTTCCAGGTTTCTTTGGTTCAGAATTTTGACTAGCAGTACCTTGAGAAACATTATGGTTCTGTACTAGAGACTTGTTTGGTGACATACATTTAAGAAAAACTGCTTGCCTGCCATCAGGCAAAAGTGCATAAACAGGTTGTTCTTGCCCGATCTCTGGTTGTTTTATTGGCTCCAAAGAGTTAGCCTTACTGCCAGCAAGTAATTTCACAGAAGAAACATTTGTAACATTAAGTTGCTCCTTTTGTGGTATGCCAATGGATGAAGCATTTACTGTCCCACTGCGTACACCAACAGCAGAAGAATTTCTTATGCTTCTAGAACAGTCTGTTTTCAGTTCCAGCTCTGATGCAGATACTGTTTCTTTACCATACTCTTTAGATGCAAGTTTCTCTAAAACCTGAGAATTATTTTCAGTGGCATTTGCAATTGTTCCAAGTGACCCACTACCAAATGTCAAAATCATTCCAGGACCTTTGTTTAAAAGTAAAGATGTAGTTCCACCTCTTGTTGCCTGCACATCTGATGAATTCAGAGAAGGTTTTCCTGAAATAACTTGTAACCCCTGTTGGTGGGCAAGGTGCAAAGGTACAAAATACCTTGGTGGAGTTGGCCGAAGCAGCAGAGATTTCTGTTCTAGAAGAGTTGGATGGATAGTGTTGGGACCATGGAGACTATAGTTCTTCTTTTCTTTTGCCAGCTGTTGTGTTATTATTGAATCTGCTTGAGTCTTAAGCAACGTGCTAATGTGGGTTCCCCTTGATGTTGAATTTATTTCTTCTGTTCTAAAAGATGATGTTGGGATTTGCCCTTCATTGCTAAAATATACACCTTCATTTCTTGTGCTGTTCATATTCAGCTCTCTCTTGAATTTAGCAGGCGAATGGGTTAAGCTGCATAGAACTGTTGAATCTTTCAAGTTTGTAAATGTTTTACAACCTGCTTTATTTTGAAATGATGGATCATGAGGTTTTATGTAGCTATATGACTGAGTAGCAGGTTCTCCTTTTAACACATCTTGTAATGTTTGGTTTAGTTCTGGTGACAAATAGTTGGATGCCTGAGTACTCTGGAGTGAAAAAACAGATGTTATTTTAGGCATAACTGATGAAGTTACACAGTTAGAGGGGTTTCCTCGTTTAGATTTTTCAGCTACATGCTCCAACACATGATTTACCTTCGTATTTAAGTACTGTGGGCTATCATGATGATTTTCTATACAATGCTCTCTGCCAATGGCATAATTAGCTTGGTTGGGTGAGAATACTGGTCCATTACTTGTATTTACAAAGCCATAAAAGGGCAGCAATGAAGACCGTTTTTCTGAATTTAATCCTGCTGCTGACTGTGAAAAACAAGTTGTGGTTTCACTGATAGGCCTGTTTTGAAGAGGAAAGACTTTGCTGGACATAAAATCTTTAGACTGATCTGAAATGCTTATTTTGGAGTAATTATGGAAAGGCAATGGTGCCTGATTAGAAACATCAGTTGATGAACAGCAGAGATTATTAAGTTTGCTGCTATTGTTCACTTCACCATTCAGTACTTTGAATTCTGGAGGAAAGGGTTTTTTCATGGGGTCATAATGAAGCATGTGCGTACCAACAGAGGATAAAACTTCAGGATGGTCTTGAGGTATACAGTTCTTCCATGAAAGAATACCTCTAGTTCCAGTCTTTGCCAACAAATCACAAGAAAGTGAAGAATCTGGTTTCACTGGCAGATGAGTTGTACATTTTCCTACCACAACAATAGGAGGTGCAACAGTTCGAGATGTATTCCAACTTAAGGAACTCTTACTTTCTTGCTTCACTTTTCCAGAATATTGACTAGAAAATGATAATGGAGAAGATGCTACTGAATGAACAGAATTCTTAGATATTTTATTAATGTCATGAAGTCCAGCACCTGAAGGTAAATTCAAGTTGTCCGCTGTCTGTTGCAGACATTCAGTTGAACCATCCTTAACTCTATCAATTTTATTTCCTGTTGGCAAATTCTGTTTATCTGTAGGTAGCAATTTTATTACTATATGTTGTTTTCCATCCACCATTTTGAATCCCATAAATTTAGCACTGTAGTTTGCAGGAACAGTTATTTTATTGTTTTTAACCATCAACACTGTAGGGCCATGAACAGCTTTTTTCAACAGTCCCATTCCAGCACCCAATCCATCTTCTGCTCTATTGTACTGTACTGCCGGAGCACATTTTGCTCCAGTGTATGTATGTTTTTCATTTGGAAGAATGTGGTCTTCATTTAAGTGTAGCTCTCTTGCAGAATGGGCAAGGTCTTCAGATTTAGGCTGAATTTCCTTCACATTTTTGAGAACTTGTCTATCATCATCTCCAATTATACAATCACCAGTGGTAATTCTTTTGCGTCTCCATAGTGCCTTCCTCGATGCTCCTGTTTTATACCTTTTCAAGATAAGTTTTAGTCCTGTTGAAGTCTTCAACTTCTTTTCATTGTTAACTCTGTCTGCTTGACCTTTTGCATAGAGATGGTCTCTGTGTAAGGTAATAATATGTTTTAAAAGATAGTTTTTTCGTGATGCCATGTAGTTACAATACTGACAAACGAAGGGAAATGTGCCAGTGTGTGAAACGACATGCTTTTGAAACTCTTCTTTTGAAAAACATGTATGGTGACATTTATCACATTTATATTGTATCTCATTGTGCCTATGAATATGTTGAACAAATGTGCCTACATCAAGGGTAGAAAAGCTACATCTTTCACACTGAAAATGGCCGTTTACACAATGTTTAGATATGAAATGTTTTGTCAAGTCCAACAAAGTGTATCTATGATCATCATTACAGATTTCACATTCTACTAAAGTGCTACGATGCGTTCGACGATGTTGGTTAAATGACTGGAAGTCATTAGCTGAAAAATTACACATTTCGCAGGGATAAGATGGCAACTCTCCAGGGTGTAACAGCTGAAAATGTTTCTGTAAATCATTTGGACTATATCGAATGTTGTTTTGACATTTTGTACAGCTAAAATTCAGTATTTTTGCTGATGTTTTCAATCCTTCTTCAGAATGCAATCCCAATTTACTATGTGAAGTATAAATCTCAGAACAGTTTAAACTGCTTCCAATCATATCTACTGGCATAAAAGATATTCCTGCAGGTTTCTCTTTACATTTAAATAATTTCACATATCTGTCAATTTCATGTTTAAATATCACTTCATTTGGAATATTTACCCTAGGCAACTCTATTTTCACATTTTTTAATCCATAGGAGAAAATATCTGAAATTGCAGGCTGAGGTGTAGGTTTTTCAACAGCAATATCCAGTGAAGAAACACGTATTCTGTCCAACACATTTTCTTGTAAAAAGTTTGTATTTTGAATGCAAAAAGCCGCTTCTTGTTCAGATGGCATCTTACTTAAAATATTCTAATATAGTTATATTATTTGATCTTTTACTGAACCTTATGAGAATTCCAAGATTTCCTCAATTTCATGTATCTGAAATAAAAATTACAAAGAGAATTTTAAAAATAGATTAAAAGCCACACAGGTTTACAATTTAAAACCACCCAACTTAAGCACTAGCACATTTGTTAGAATTTAAAAGATGCATCACACCATTAAGGGACCTTCTCAAACTCCTTTATGTCACCTTATCAAGTTTAGAGTTCTCTGGGCTTAGCTTTTATAGCTGAAATCTGCACAGTGACACTCAGGTAACCTTTGACTGCTGGACCCCTCCCTATACACCCAGCATGTTTTGCTCTTCCTTCTTGTTCACACACACCAGATATTCCCAGGTGAGGCAGTGGCTGTGCTGAACCGGTGCCCGGCCAAAGTAATGGGCTGGATGAGGGCCAATGAACTGAAGCTCAATCCAGACAAGACGGAGGTCCTGTTAGTAGGTGGATCAGGCTTCGGGATGGGGGACTTTGACCTTGTCCTGAATGGGGTTGCACTCCCTCCAACGGACAGGGTCCGCAGCTTGGGAGTGCTCCTCTACCCAGAGCTACCGTTGGAAGGTCAAGTAACAGCAGTGGCGAGGAGCGCTTTCCTTCAGCTTCGGCTGATCCATTAGCTGCACCCCTACCTGGAGAACGACTGCTAGGCAACAGTGACACACACATTGGTCACTTCCCGATTAGACTTCTGTAATGCGCTCTATGTGGGGCTGCCCTTGAAGACAGTCCGGATACTTCAATTGGTGCACAACAGAGCTGCCAGGCTGCTGACGGGGACTTGGCATCGTTCTCATATAACCCCAGTCCTCCGTCAGCTTCACTGGCTCCCCATTGAAGTCCAGGCCCAATTCAAGGTGCTGGTTATCACCTATAAAGCCCTCAACGGCTTAGGTCCTAGTTACCTAAAGGAGCGCCTGCGTCCATATATGCCCTCCCGCCCCTTGAGATCGGTGACAGAGGCCCTTCTCCATGAACCCTCCGTGAAGGATAGTAGGAGGGTGAGTACCCGGAGGAGGGCGTTCTCTGCGGTGGCACCCAACCGATGGAATGTGCTCCTCAAAGAGGTCCGCCTGGTGCCTTCGTTATTTGCTTTTCAGCGCCAGGCCAAGACCTTTTTATTTAAACACTATTTTAATTGTTAAGGTTTATTTATTGATTTTAAACTGGCCAGGATGTTTCCACTATTTTATGTATTCTATGTATTTACTGTATTTATATGTGGCATTTTAATGATTGTAAGCCGCCCTGAGGCTTATGCGAAGGGGGCGGCATGTAAGCTGTCTAAATAATAATAATAATAATAATAATAATAATAATAATAATAATAATAATAATAATAATAATAATAATTGGTTACCTTTTTAGTGATAGCAGCTCCTGAAGCAATGTTACTGACCCAACTGCTACTATAGCATTCCTACCCAGCCAGTTTTGAAGTCTAGCCTTCCTTCACCAGTTGTGTTCCTTGCTTTTTTACTCCTCCACTCTGATTAATACATCCATCTGTACCTAGCTTCTCATATCTATAGCATGACTGCTTAAAACAGAAAATGCCATCATTTTAAGAAAACAAAATTACTTGTTTCTGTGAAAATGAAGATTCTTTGAAACACACAAGATTCAAGAGCCAGCACGCAAAGATTGTATGTAAGAACACAAATAAAAATAGCCTTAGACATAGTCTAGAATTTCCAGCAAGCAACTTAACATAAAGTAACAAGAAAGTTTATCAATGCAAATCAACAAAGAAAAAAATCCTAACAACTGTTCTGAATAGAACACTTGCAGGAATGTATAATGCACCAAGTATACATGGAAAATGGGAGATAGGAAGTTTGAAAAGATGTTCCTGAGAGGTACTGCAGCTAAACACTTTTTAAAAATAAACTTCTCTCTAACTGTATTTATTTCACTACCTAATGCTATTCACTGAATTAAGGTGATAAAGTTAGGGGGATTAATTGCTCCAATATGTAACACTAGAGGATCGCCTCCTCTTCAGACACAGCACACTTTAGTTCTTTAGTAAAGCAGCAATTTGTGCTTGGCTCAAAAACCACAGGACACGTTGGCCATCATATATTGCCCAGTGTATACAGCAAAAGTAAGATATACTGGCAAATAATCAGATTAGGCAAGCCTTTGTTTTCTCTTTGACTTTTCCTTCTCCTTGATGCCTGACCCCAACCTCCAGTGATGTTACCTTTCTCTTTACAGCAAGGATGCAGAATCTCTTACAGCACAAGAGCCAAATTCTATCTCCAAGAAGAAATAGGATGCTGTATTCTAGTGGTGGACAGGGTCAAAGATAAAGGAGGTGGCCTAGGGAAAAAGGTGCAGGCCAAAATACCGTAACTGCCATATTTTATTTTAAAACTCTTACAGCAAGTAACTAAACCTTAGAAAAGCAATTTCTACCTTTCAGAATGGTAGGTGGGGGAAAACTGAGGAACGAACAAGGGATTGGTGGTATGGGAAAAGAAGGCGCTACAACCTCATAGGGACCCCCTGAGGACTAGATCTGGCCCTTAGGAGGTCAAATACTCCAATTCTGTGTTTTTTGAGCCAAGCACAAACCACACAGCAATTCTATTTGAGAACTAAAGGGTTTCATCTATGCTATGGATGTGAAGGAGAAGACATCCAACAGCCAGTAGTTCTGCAGCCTTGCCAAAAACCAACCAACCAAACAACAAAAAACAAACTACAAAATTCCTCTTAACAAAAATGCATCCTGGTCATCTCTCACTTTAACTATTCCTGTCCTCTTCTTCCTGAACTTCTGTGTCTCATCATCATCAAAATCTTGCTACCCAAATTAGTCTCATCACTCTAACAGTGTAATGCCCTTCTTTAAATCCCTTTACTGGCTTTCTATCCACTCTTGGATTCTGCACAAGTTATTTGTCCTTACCTTCAAAATCCACCCTGGCCTTGCCCACCCCTTTGCCATCTCTCTCCTTTCTTACATCCCAAAACATATCTGTGAAACCCATGCAGCCATCACTTTTAGGTCATGCAAATCCCCCTTCAAAACTCATCTTTTAAAAAGGCTTTGGAACAGTCCCATGGTTTCCTGTTGTAAGTAAACTGCTAGGACATATAACTAAATCACTGCATATTCTTTCCCTGTTCACCAGTATCTCCATCCCTGAACCCTCTTCCTCTGTGTCTGTTTTTAGATCATAAGCCCCTTGTGGTAGGAACCTGTTAAACCTGTTTTTTTGTAAAGCACAATGTACACAGATGGGGATATATAAATAATAACAATTAGCTTTACAAATAAGCTTAGAAAAATTAGTAAGCTAACAACAATGTTCACCTACCCGCTCAAATTAATCATTTCTGACCTAAAAGTAGGGCAGGAGGTGGGGGATATTACAATGTAGCTTTATTGCCTGATCACCAGAAGGAAATTTTTTGTCATAGTAGCCTGAACTCATATCTAAACATTTGAGTGAATACACAATATTTTAAACAAAACACTTCCAACAGCAAGTTTAATATTTTAAGGTAATCAAGAAATGAATAAAACTTACTCTTTAAAGCAAACTACAATTCCATTCTTCAGTGACTGTTCAATATTTTTCCTTTCCAAGAGATGACAGGCATAAAATGGAGACTGAAAAGATGTTGCACTCAATGTACAGACAATCCTAAAATACAGAAAATGTTTTCAAAACCCAACACAACAATATATGAAAAAATTAGAAGCCCTGAATTCACAAATGTTTGATATCTAACCATGTCAGATCTTGATCTAACTTCAACAGAGCCTGTCTCAAAGATAGCAATCTTATTATGATGCTGAAAAATATCACAGGTATAAGACCCCAGAGATTTTGTCCTGAAATCTCTAATTTTACAAGTGCAAATGGTGAGACTGAAACATTGAATACTGCCTCCTTAAAAAGTTACAGCATTTTTAATCCCAGTTTATTGCTGACAGGAATTCCAAAGAAATAGAGTAAGTGGACAGGGTAGTAGCTCCTGCATTTAGAGGGTAGTGGCTGCTGTTCTTCTAAATCTCACTAGTTCTAAGTACTAACCTAAACACATTTACTCAGAAACACTTATCAGTGTATTTAACAGAATTTACAGGTACCTGTGCTCTCAATTTCTGACTTATTTAATGATCTTATTTTTACTTATTTGTCCTTCATCAGACTAACATTTGTTTAACTCCAGAAACTGGTTGATCTATTTTTTTCTTGAAAACATTATTAGAATAGCTTACAGAACTAAAACAGATATGCTTGAATTTATTCACATGCTATAAAATTAAGCCTGCAATCCTAAGGTATGTCCCATTAAAATGAGTGGAATCTACTTCTAAGTAAACATGTGTGCACTATGTTAAAAACAGTACAAATATTCATTTATCCAACCTCCTCAGGTATTAGTAAAATGTACTTCATGGATCACTGCCTTGCCATGGTGAAGGAGCTTGTGTAGCGCAATGAAGCTATGAGCTATGCCATGCAGAGACACCCAAGATGGACAGGCCATAGCAGAGAGCTCTGACAAAACGTGATCCACTGGAGAAGGAAATGGCAACCCACTCCAGTATCCTTGCCATGAAAACCCCATGAACAGTACAAAAATGCAAAAAGATATGATGCCAGAAGAATGAGCCCCTCAAGTCAGAAGGTGTCCAATGTGCTACTGGGGAAGAGCAGAGGGATAGTACTAGTAGCGCCAGAAAGAATGAAGCGACTGGATCAAAGCCGAAAGGACACTCAATTGTGGATGTATCTGATGGTGAAAGCAAAGTCCAATGCTGTAAAGAACAATATTTCATAGGAAGATGGAATGTAAGATCTATGAATCAAGGAAAACTGGACGTGGTCAAACAAGAGATGACAAGACTGAACATCGACACTTTGGGAATCAGCAAACTAAAATGGACAGGAATGGGTGAATTTAATTCAGATGACCATCAGGTATACTACTGTGGGCAAGAATCCCTCAGAAGAAATGCAGTAGCCTTCACAGAGTAGGAAAAGCAACACTGGGATACAATCGCCAAAATGACAGAATGATCTCAGTTCAAATCCAAGGCAAGCCATTCAACATCACAGTAGTCCAAGTCTATGCCCCAACCACTGGTGCTGAAGAGGCTAAAGTTGACTGTTTCTATGAAGGCCTACAACACCTCCAAAAATGATGTCCTTATCATCATGGGGGATTGGAATGCTAAAATAGGAAGTCAAAAGATAATCAGAATAACAGGCAAGTTTGGCCTTGGAGTACAAAATGAAGCACCACTGCACTCCTTTCATATGCTAACAAAGCTATGCTCAAAATCCTACAAGCTAGGCTCCAGCAGTATGTGGACCGAGAACCACCAGAAGTACAGGCAGGGTTTCGAAGAGGCAGAGGAACTAGAGATCAAATTGCCAACGTATGCTGGATCATGGAGAAAGCTAGGGAGTTCCAGAAAAACATCTACTTCTGCTTCATTGACTACGCTAAAGCCTTTGATTGTGCGGATAACAACAAATTGTGGCAAGTTCTTAAAGAGATGGCAGCACCAGATCATCTTATTAGTCTCTTGAGAAACCTGTATGCGGGTCAAGGTGAAACAGTAAGAACTGGACATAGGAACTACTGATTGGTTCAAAATTGAGAAAGGAGTATGGCAAGGCTGTATACTGTCACCATGCCTATCTAACTTATATGCAGAGCACATCATGTGAAAGACTGGGCTAGATGAATCGCAAGCTGGAATTAAGATTGCCGGGAGAAATATCAACAACCTCAGATATGCAGATGATACCATTCTAATAGCAGAAAGTGAAGAGGAACTAAAGAGCCTCTTAATGAGGGCAAAAGAGGAGAGCGCAAGAGTTGGGCCATCCAGTCTGACCTCCGGCACCAGCCGGCTCCGCTCACGACATGCCCACCTTGCTCCTTGGGAGGAAAGCTATGGCAAATCTAAAAATCTTTTTAGCATACTAAAAAGCAGAGACATCACCCTGCCAACAAAAGTTCATGAAGTCAAGACTATGGTTTTCTCAGTTGCAATGTATGGCAGTGAAAGTTGGACCATACGGAAGGCGGAGCGCCAAAGAATTGAGGCCTTTGAATTGTGGTGCTGAAAAAGACTCTTGCGAGTCCCTTGGACTGCAAGGCGATCGAACCAGTCAGTCTTAGAGGAGATCAACCTTGACTGCTCTTTAGAAGGCGAGATACTGAAGATGAAACTCAAGCACTTTGGCCACCTAATGAGAAGGAAGGACTCACTAGAGAAGACCCCAATGCTGGGAACAATTGATGACAAAAGAAGAAGGGGACAGCAGAGGATGAGGTGGCTAGATGGAGTCATTGAAGCAGTCGGTGTGAGCTTAGGTGGACTTCGGGGAATGGTGGAAGATAGGAGAGCATGGAGGAATGTTGTCCATGGGGTAGCGATGGGTTGGATGCAACTTTGCTAAACAACAACAACAACAACAAAAACCTTTCGCTTAAATTCAGATTCCAAGTAACAGCTACTTGTATCACTTGTAATTCTCAATACAAAATATCTTGTATTTTGCTAGTGTTCCAGAAATAGCAAGAAAAAAGTCTTAAGTCTGAAACACAGACTATTATGCTGCTGACACCTTCTCATTTCATATACAGAGTACATACTAGTAATGTTGCAACCTCAGGTGATATCAATCTTAGCCACCCATGTACATTTTTACCTTATGGGAGTCGAGCACACATGAGCAAGATTGAACTGATTAATTTGAAACATTCTGCAGTTGTAATACAGGTAAACTAAGAGCTCTCCATTTATACATTATTTACATAGCAGACACAACTTCTCACTCACTATACAAGAACTGCCAATGAAAATCAAAATAATTAGCAATTTGGGGGCTATAAAAGCATTGTATTAGGAATTTACAGTACCAACAGCTTTCCTAGGTGGTGGTGGTGATCATTATTATTATTATTAGTAGTAGTAGTAGTAGTAGTAATAGTATTACATCTTCCAAGCTGCATGACACATCCTAATAAAATTCAGTCCTGTGGTGGCAATGAAGCTAAACCCTAGCAGGACAAGATGGCTGTCAAAAGCAACATCTGCTCTCATCCCCTCTCTCCACACAAAGTGGCTTCCAGTTCTTTCCAAATTAGTATTCATAACAATCCAATAAAGCAACACTCATTATTCCTTCAGTGGAATACCCACACTGGACCCCAGATTGAGAAGAGTGAAACTGCCCAGAGCAAAGCCCATGCTCCAATTGAGATTTGTAACCAAGTAGATTGCTGCGCCTTGCCATGCATTTAATGCATTAGTGGGTCTGTATAGTCAAATAAAATAAAAGACCGCAGTTCATCACTCAGCTTGGACAAAGTGTTTCAAACTTTCCCGAATAAGTCCAGAATATGGTTGTTATCCATATCACAAGCTCTTTAGCTTTTTTGAGGGGTTCCATCAATCTGCTTTTGTCCATAAGAGACTGCATGAGTTTGAGCTGGAGAAACCATTTATAGTCTCCATTTATAGTATGGACTTAATGCCCTTATCACACCCAAACATAGATAAAGGAATTCATCCCCAGTGAAATGAGTAACAAAGTAATGCGGAGGAAAGAAACCCTGCCAAAAAGACAGCCATTCATTGCAAGGCAGATTGACTGCTGGGAGGCACAATATGCTTGAGGTAAAATGTCTTCAACAGCAGTTGCTTGCATCTCTCCTCATCTTGCCCCGCCATTTTGTACACCATGTGCTTCCTTCAGCTCTCCCAAATGTTTGCCCCCACATCCCCTTCTTCCTCATTGCTCCAATCACTGGGCATGAACCCCCCCCTTAGTGAGTTCATCTCCCTCTCCCTTGCTCCTTCTTGGTTGCTCTTCCACTGGTCCATTGGCAAAGAAAAAAGTGCTGGGAGAGCAGAGTTCAGAGTCCACCCTTGGCTCTCCTCAACACACTTTTCTTATTCCTCAGTCCATTCAGAGACATCTTCAAGTCCTTCAACCCAGCCACCATCAGGCAAGTGTGTTTCTGTTTTAGACAGACAGCAAAATGTCTTCTCAGTGGCTATGGCAGGGAACACAGGGAAGAAGCAAAGCAAACTGAGTTTTCCAACATGAGTACAATCTTTTGTTTCCCCTCCACTGACTCCCATAGGTAAATATTATTGAGGTCGGACAAAAATCCCATATTTTTCTTAAAATGAAACACTGATTTATTATGACTCAAAATAAGCACATATATTTCACATGACCAGTGTATCCAATATAAATAGCTGCTGTCAGAAAAAGAAAAAGGGGAGTTAAGGTGGGATTGTGCTACCAATCTTTCCAAACAGAGTACCATAACCAGTGTGGGTTCATTTCATCAGGGGAAGTCAAGATTCATTTAAAAATATGTCCTCTAAAACATCTAGTACTGCCTGGTATATAGAACTTAGGAGTAAGTCAACTGCTGGAACCTCCAAGATTTTAAGCCATGCTGTTCCTTTGTAGTTGGATCCCAAAAAATCTATAATACTTAATAATAATGTGTTAAGTTATTTCACACCCAACAGTTTAAAGATATTGTTCTGTATTTGGTATGTAAGGCAACAATTCTGTACAGCATTATCAGGGAGTAAGCCTCACTGAAAGCATTGAGCAGACATGTTTGGGATTGCAATGAATTGTGTATTTCTTTGTCCACTGAGTTACTTCAGTTTCTCTAAAAGAAGCATGAAACATGTAGGAAGGAAATGGGGGTGGGGAGTTAACAGAAAAGTGTATTGTATGTACTAAAAGCACAAGATGGAAGTACCTGGGCCAAATGACAAGTATGAAGATGTCTCATTACAACTCCGAATGACTACTGAGAGTAAATGTCAGTCTTAAGAATTTAGCTGCCTCTCCAAGGTCTCTAGAAGTTACTTCTCCAAGTGGGGCAGTGGATGCAACTTGCATCTAATGCAGGCACAGTGTGTGCACATGAATCCTAAGGCACAACTCACCACTTCAAATACTGGGCAGGATCATTTTGAACTGCTGCTAAAATCCTGTGGGGTAACTGCACTTTTCAGTTCATGTATATCTCTCTCTTTACACAACATAGCACACACCCCTCCTAGACTTTAAATCAATGCAGATAAATGAATTCAGCAGGTGGAGTAGAGGAGCCCTCAGCATATAGGGCATGAATGCGGGAAGACTGATGGAGGACAAACTGTCTCAAGTAGCTACGAAGATGTCTGAATGTTTCACCATGTGAAGGAAAAGGAAGGCTTTTCAAGGAGTTTCTCCTACTCTTATCCACACACATAAACACACGGGGGCAGGTGAACCTATAGCAACTACCACCCACTTTAAGCCTCCACCTGGGACGTGCCCTAATCCAAGATTCACACTCTCTTCATGGAAGCCAATATTAGGAAAGCCACGAACACACACAAGTTGATTATGTGTTATGCAGTCTTCGTGAGGACATGGCTTTCGGGGGTAGGACTGCAGAGACCACTGCACCACTGCCTAGCGAAGCTCTCCCAGTCTTTTTCTCCAGTATCCCCGGAGCAGAAACAGAGGACGAAAGAGGGGAGCGCGACAAGAACTTTGCTAAACGCGACCGCAGGAGGGAAGACGCGGGACTATTTGATGCCTCAGCCCAACAAGAGGGCGGGTTCCTGCCCAACTGCGGGGATTCGCCCGTCCTGCTGGAAGAGGCCCCCTAAAATTAGCCGGGGGACCGGCTGCGGTAGAGCCTCTCTCCCCTCTACGCAGCCAGGCACCCAGGGGCGCAAGTCCCCTGCCCGCCTCCCCGCTCTGCCACACGCTGGGCGCAGCGCCGTGCGCCTAGATTACCTCGCCCGTCTCCATAGTCCGACGAGTCACTATTGGCGGCCATTACGGTTTCCATCCGGGGACTGCGGGAATTGACGAGCTCAGCAATGGAAGGAGGGGTGGGGTGACTGTGGCGGAGGGATATGCGCCGCACATGGGACGGAAATACGGAGGCCCAGAGAAGTTTTGGGGTGCTGCTTCCAGCTTCACGGGCTGTCGACCCCAATTTTGTGGCTCCTCCCGGTGACTGAGGCACTACGAGCTGGCACTTCCCCGCGTTTCCCGCATCCTGATAGCGCGGCGGCGCCAGCGGCGGCGTCCGTGCGGATAGTTTCTGCTAAAGTAATGAACGCAGGAGCGTTCAATGCCTTGCCCGCCACCGAGTCCCTCCTCTTCCTCCTCCCCTTGTGTGTTAAGGCAGAGACAGAGAGACTATGGAGGGTGGTTGAGTAGCACAATACAGCACTAGTTACTGCAGAGAGGTACCCAAAGCCCTTAACCTCCCATCCTACTGAAACGGCCTTGTGCACTCTCTCCTGGTTGGCAGGCACTCGCTCACAACACATAGCCAGAGTCCATGAAGAAGCAAGGAGGCAGTCATCATGTCTTCCCTCAGTCAACGAAGAGTGATGACATCATCATCTTCCCCTTTGCTCATCCTTCAGCCACACGTAGCCATTGTCTGAAACCCACCACCTGATCATAGCAATATATTTGTCCTCCCAAGGCTCCTGAGTCGATGCGGGGAATAGCCCTGTCGAGTACAGCAGAGAACAGGCCTATTTCTCTTGCTTACTGAGGCACTGCACACCCTTCCTTGCCTGAAGGGTCCCTCGACAGCATGGCGTTCTTGTCCTTAGCACCGCAGCACAGGGAGTAAAGTGACGAAGCCGCGCCTCAACCTGTGATCCAACGTGGCTTCAAAACGAGGCCGCTCGCTTTCTTATAATCAACTGATGAAGGGAGAGAAGCTGTACCAGCCATTTTGGTGACACAACAAAAACGCCAGCCATAGATTAGATTTCCTTAGTTTGAAGGCTGGGTGTTAGTAAGGATCAGGATCTCAGGATCCAAATCTGAAGTAGTCAGTGCTGAAGCTCTCCCTGTAATAGATGTAGGTCTGCTGTGTGCATTTCGCTCTCCTGAAGGGAGAGATCTATCACTAATGAATCAATCACCATTAAACGAGGCAACTTTTACAAAGCAGAAGATGGTGTCTGGGCTTTTTTTTTAGCTTGCTATAATTAATTGCATGTGGCATTCAGTGCAGTGTGGAATTTTTAAAACTAGAATTTCAAAGAAGGAAGAAGGGAAATATAAGTGATAAAGTTTACAACTTGGAAAATAGACTGACTTCCTGCATCACCCGACACCTTTAAAATCATCCTTATCTTCCCTTAAAGTCAGTTCAACAGATTTCCAAATTCAGTGAGCTTAATTTCTCCACCAAACCTCCTATCTTCCATTTTCTTTCTCAACTCTTCCACACTTTATAGAACAAATACACTTTACAAAAGCAAATTGTATTTCAACTGGCAGTTTAAAAAGTGCCACTTTTCAATGAGCTGTCTACTGAACTTTTATTTGTCTGCTCAAAATTCAGTAATCCACATCTGTGCTACCTATAGGATGTCCAGTAATCTGAAAGACTCTTTGAAGTGTCTCATGCAGACACTGAAAGCTTTTTTATGGTAAGGTTTTACAATATGTTTAATAAGGCCTATGGTACATCTTCATAATATATTTAGCAGCATGTTTTACTTTCTGAGATTAGTTTACATATTTTTTGTTGAAATTCTGATGGACTGGAAAGATATGTATTGGTTCATCTATTATATTTGCTCTTACTGTGCTTTTCGCTCTGAGAGCTTCAGATTTATTATAAAATAAATTGATGAATGAAGTGATTCTCAAATTATTTGGAAGTCATAAAGACTAACAATGGTCTCATTTAGATAAAGACTGTATTGCTTTTTCTTAGTATATAAGAGAATATTCAGAATATGATCAAATTATTTAGAATATGACCAAAACACAAACAATCAAGTAGTCTATAATGGACTTAGGAACACTTTGGCTCAATAAAAAGGTATGTGTTGCTCAGCTTGATCATATTTACATGACCAAACACTGTTCTAGAAGAACTCTAATGGAGGAAAAGAGAAGCTAACAAAATAAACTTAAGTTTGCACACCTTTTAAAATGATTATTTAACAAACTTCTAGCAGCTACTTTATTTTATTTATATCTTATCTTTCTGTTTGGTTTACTATTAATTCAATGTTGCTAACATAAAATGCATAGAATAAATGCAGATATTTTGTAATATCTATTAATTACAAACATCTAGAAACCAGTCCACGAAACAAAGCAGGAAGTGGCTGGCAAGCACTGCCCCACCAACAACTTTGTGCTCTATATTGCCTCCAAATGTGATGAATCTCTTAAACTTAGAGCACTGCTTTAGAGCATTTCTATTTAATTGTGTGAACCCATGGAAATATTCATACATTTGATCATTTTTTCTTTTTCTCTATCGAAGTCTATTCAAGTAAGAAATCATATCTGAAGCAGTTCTGACTTTAGCCCACTAGCCTTTCATTCTATTAGTTCTCTATCAACAATAAAGCCTCAGGAGAAAAATGTTCTTATCTCCAAATTTCTATTCTTCCCATGATTGTTTTATTTCCACTCTATGTTTTCATTCTTTATTGCTATTTCATAGCCCGAGATCGAAAGAGCTACTTTAGACAAGCTCAAAGGCTTGTACTCAAGCAGAACCATTTCTTTTTTCATGTATAGGAAAGGCTATACAGCAAACAGCCATGCTATATATCACAAACTGATTTTGCGGCTCTTCCAGGTCCAAAAGTTTTCTGCCATGCTGCATGAGAAAGGGAAGAGCTGCTCAGGAAACAGAAATCTATAGCATACTTGGCAATTAGACCTTGCTGAACTTTTCAGCCTACCAGGTTTACCTTTTCCCATCTTCTTTTCTATTTTATTCTCTGAGCCTTATGAATACTTTCAAAAAGCATTTTATGCCATATATACATCATCCTTTTATTTCACATTAATTAACCACCAACAATTATCAATTGCTTTATGATTACAGGGAGTGCTTGTGCTTAAAACCTCTGCTTCAGTTCTAAGTGACATTCAGTGTGTGGTGGACTTTCCAATCATATTTGTGCTCTTGGTGGGGTGGGGGGGAGGTAAAAGAGGTAAGTAATCCACACTAAACTACCTTTACAATGTTGTAACTGAATAGTCAAGGATGTGTATTTTATAATCTTATAAAGTTGAATTGTGTTGCTTATCATTACTTCTAATAAAAATATATTTAAAAAGAAACAAATGAACAAGCTAAAGCAGAGTCTACAACCATTCACAAGGGATAGTACGGATGGACTAGTACATTTAATTAGATCAACATTCAATTGCGTGTGGTTGTGGGAAATAATCTTTCAGGCGAAGTCCTGTGAAGCTGAAATGCTTACATTCACTTTCACTACGGGATGATGATCTGATACAATATATCAAGTGACCTGCTTAGCTTCTAGTCCTCTGATGGCAAGAGAAATCTTTTGTAGACAATCCTATTTAAGTAACAGTTGATAGTAGCAGAAAATTGACTTATAATACCATGCTATACATCATTTATGAAATATCATATGGGAAAACTGGTGTTGATCATGGCAGTATCTTCAAAACAGGCATGCATCAGGTCAATGGAAGTATGGATTTGAAATAGAGCAGACCAAGACCATGCAGAAGGTTGATTGGAGGTACTATCAGAATAGATTTTCTAGAATTAATGCTCATATGATGCAAGTCAATTAACAATGCATTTTCTATATTTCCTTTTGTTCTTTGCTTTTCATTTTCCACCCAATACTCTGTCTCTCTGTTTGGTTACAGTTCAGCCTAACACTGCATGCATCTGATGAAGTGGAAATAAATGATAATGTGTTAGTATTTAGGGTACAACTATACTCTTCATTGTTTTTGCTGCCCACAATAAATATGGCTAAATTTCTGGAAGAATTAGATTTGTTCATGAAAGGAATTGTCTGGGAACTGCAATTCTGGTACTTAAAATACATTTCTGGTGTGAGCATCCTCAGTGGCACCTTGTTTCTAAATTCTGTCTCTGCTTCCCTGAACCAGTGTTCTGTACCTGCCTCCAGTTAGTGGACCTTAGTGTTCAAGTGAAAAATAAAGTATATCTGGTAAGCCTAAGTCTACCCAGCTCTAGATCAGAATTTAATCACACAATCCAATGCATTTCTGATCAAAAGTAAGTTCTAATAGATAACTATGAATAGCTTTAGGCTGCACTTGTGCTTATACACTTAACCAAGAATGAATCCCACTGAACTCCACTGAACAAATTTCTGAGTAGACATATATAGGATTCAATGTAATGATAAAAGTGAATAAATCCATGTCCCAGGTCTCTGTATAGGGCAGGACTATTGTAATAATCAAGACTTTAAAAAAGTAACAAAACTGCACAATACAAACTTAAAATATCCATGTTATTTTGTTGTCAGACTTATTAAAAGCATTGGATTTACAGAAGTTCTATACCACAGAAATGGATAGCAATTAAATACATGTACAGAGTCATATAAGTTAGGGAACTGAAAAGGTGCCCTTTTGTGAACCAAAGATACCATGCCTCAGCACAGCTATCAGAGTTTCTTTTGAGTATCAAAACAATGTGTTTAAAAGTTACATTATCATGCTCTAAGATTTTCTGTATACGTTTAACTAAAAACTACTTACTAACTAAATGATGGAATTGTCTGATAGGAAGAGCAGAGTAGCCACCATTAACTCCAAAGGGCTCATGGTAGGTTTTAATACCCACAAAACCAAGCAAAAGATTACTAGCACAATTCTATGTGTGTCTGTTCAAATGTTCTGTCCCAGTGAGTTCGATATTCATCTTCTCTATTCCCTAACTTTCAGATAAGTTTATACGGGATTGTAGTCTAAACAAAAGGGTTTTTCAGCATAGGTAAAGGCCAGGATAAAGGTGGATGAAGAGTGACTTTTCTCTTTGCTGCAACAGACTAACATGCCTGCCTCTATGAAAATAGTAGAGAAGCAAAGATGCAGTTTTTTAAAAAATGCTGAAACCACTGTATTGACATCTATCCAAACCTGGAAAAATAGCAATAATGAGCTCAGTGGGTAATAAAAGAACACATTAAATTCAGTATTGATGCATACAAAATATTTCAGGAGGG